TTTTGTTGCATCAAAATGCTGGAAAATTATAGAAGTCTCTATACAGAGCAGCTGAATTCAGAATTACCAGTTTTTAAAAAGACTTACATTTGAACACATTGGAGGAAGGAAACTAACTGGCTGAGTGATAACATTAAGTAAATTGGCTGAAGGACATCACCCTCTACAGGCAGATACAAAAGAATGGTAGGCCTGATTGGTTGGTAGACTGGGATGCTAATTATTTACTCCTGGGGAAATTCTGCACCACAGCATGTGTGCAGAATTCATGTCTACTACAGATTTCTTTGCTTTCTCGCAGAAAAATGACTTTCTGACAGGGAAGCTGCAAGAGCAGTCACACACCACTCCCTAGCAGAGCAGATAAATTGTGTCAGGCACTCGGAGCAGCTGGCAGAGAGAAATCACCACGGGGCTGGGCTAGTCCAGGCTGGGCAGGAGAGGACAGGACTTCCTCTTTCCCTGCAAGGAGTGTCTGGGGCTGTGTCAGACCCACCCCCAGAAACCCTCCCCAGCTGCAGGAAGCTCAGCATCCTCCTCTGCTTCCTGCCCCCATCACTCCTCAACTGTGGAGGAAGGGGGCTGCTCCCCCATCCACCCAAGCCCCATGCAGCTGGACCTCCCCTATCCAGACACCCCTGCCAAGCCTCACCAGGTACATCCAGAACCCCCCTAGCCCTCAATACCCGAACCCCACTCTGCACCTGGAAACCGCCTCCCCCTCCCCCCAACGAGCCTCTGTGCATCCAGATCCCTCCATATCTAGACCCCCCACAGAGCTGCCTGCACCCAGATTGTCCCACACAGAATCTTCTCACCCCACACCTGGATTCCTCCCCCACTGAGCCCTCCACACTTGGATCCTGCCTGGTTGAGACTGCCTGCCCCACAGCTGGTGCACCTGGCACAGAGGAGCAGGGCCCAGAGTGTTTCTGGGGCAAGTCCAGGCCTTGTGCTGTGTCAGGGTCGGGTGCAGCCTCACCATGGAGTCCGGGTCCCGGGGGTGGGGGAGCTTGCAGGGTGATCTCCCACCTTCAGCAAGCCAGTAGCCTGTGCTCTCCACTGCCATGCTGGAACCTCTGCATTTATTTACTGGACAAATAAAACTTGCAGAATTTTAAAATATTGTGCGCAGAATTTTACATGTTTGGCACAGAATGCCCTCAAGAGTAAAATTGTTTTATTTATAGAACTACAACCTTTTCATTTTGGACAATATGTATCTTGTGTGAGGAATGGATTATTACAACGTGAATGATGTAGTACAGTGGTAGGCAACCTATGGCACGTGTGCTGAATGCGGCACATGAGCGGATTTTCAGTGGCACACACACTGACTGGGTCCTGGCCAGAGTCCGGAGGACTCTGCATTTTAATTTGCTTTTAAATGAAGTGTCAAACATTTTAAAAACCTTATTTATTTTATATACAACAATACTTTAGTTATATATTATAGACTTATAGAAAGACACCTTCTAAAAACGTTAAAATGTATTACTGGCACACAAAACCTTAAATTAGAGCGAATAAATGAAGACTCGGCACACCACATCTGAAAGGTTGCCGACCCCTGATGTAGTATATGTCCGATGTTAAATTAAACAGGAAGAACATGGTCATCCCCACCACCACCTATTCCCATTCTCCCCCACACCCTCACCCCCAGAAGAGTTTTTTTCAGATGCAGGAGAGGAGGAGGAATCACAACAGCCAGGTATAGGATAGATACAGATTTTAAAATGAAACACTTAAAAAACAACAACAAAACCAGCTACTGCTCTACACTTTCCATAAACTTAATATTTTAAAGTTTGTAAGACGAAAATTTCTCTTCTGAACAGACTGTAAAGTTCACGGATCTTCATAAAGTGCATAAGTTAAAGCAACTTACTAGATTTTTTTTTTTTTAAAGAAAAATCTGCATCTGTGTAGCAGCTTTCAGCACTACACAAAATAAAAGTGAGGTTACAAGTCCCCATAAAAAGGGATTTGCAACACCAATTTTTGTAAATCTTATTACGTCAGCGTTACCTGGCTGGGCACGCAAGTCAGTAAATGGTAAAGTAGGGTTACATGTGTAACTCCAACTTTGCTCCTTTCGAAGGCCTGGTCAACATCTAAAAACTTAAGGTCAACCTACACCACTCGGGCCTCTGGAAAATTTCATGCCCTGTGAGACAGTTACGTCAACCTAACCACCAGAGTAGATGCCGCTAGGTCAATGGTTCTTCCATCGACGCAGCTTCTGCCTCTCCAGGAGAGGGGGGTGATTTACTACAGCAATGATCAACCCCTTCTGTCACTGTAGTGTCTACACTACAGCAGCATAGCTGCAGCTGTAGTACCTGTGGTGCAGACAAATCCTAATAACGCATTTTCAGCTAGTCTCCAGATGATCATGTACTGTTCCTCAAGTACAAAACACATTTTTCTACAGCCTGACTAGGTAGCTAAATTCCCTGTAAGCTCCGCAGCCGTGCAGCACGCTTCTTAGCGCCGCGCAAGTGCTCAGGAAACCCGCCCAGGGACCTGCCACAGCCAGGGGAGGGGCGTCCCTCCCCCGTCCCAAACCTAGCCCACCCCCCAACCCCCCCCCCCCCCCCCCCCCCAACTCTGCCACAGCCGGGGAACCGGGACCAGCCGGTTCGCGCCTACCCCAGCCCTAAGGATGTGACATAGGTCACAACTCTGTGCTGATTGGGCCACAGGTTGAGAACCACTGGTTTAAGCCAATCTCTATTAGGGACCTTAAAGGGGAGAAGATTATCCCTATCTGCTCACTGCAGAGTTCTTACACCTTCCTCTGAAGCCTCTGGTGTCAGGTGGCCACTATTAAAGATAGGATACTTGACTGGATGAACATCAGATTTGACCTAGTATGGCATTTCCTAGGCACTATATATATATAGCAAAGGTTGGAGAAAGTTATGTGATCATTTAGTTAACGACTACCACAATGTATTCGTAGAGGAACAGAGATAAGGCTACTCATTGAACTTTTATCTTGTCATTGCCTGACTTGAATGCTTAGCCACACAACCCAAGTCCTCTTAGCATGTTTCAAATGAAATGTCCCCACACACCTTGATAGGTTTGCAATAGAGAGTCCCTGCCCTGCATATCTTAGGAAGTCTGTGGGAGTCCTTTTTCTCCTGCAAAGTTTCAGAGCTATGCAGCTTTTACTTTATAAGATGTTCAGCGAATAAGACAAGATCTTTGCCTCATTCACTGCACACTATCACTAGTTTTTTCATTCCATAGCTAAGTTAGTCAACACCTGAATGTGCAGTGCTGCCTTCCTAACTGCACACGTTACAAGCTTAGCAATAATACACAATGCAAAACACACTGAACATATACAATTTTAAGAATATCACAACTTTCAAGTCAAAACTTTAAGTATTCCACTGAAAATAAGACGCTACCCAATGAGTGCTCTCTCCATGCCAAATTTCAGGTTTGTCTCCCCAGCCATTTCAACAGTAGGACTGTTCGAAAACAAGAACAAACCTATCAAAATATTTTCAATGTCCATGCGCTCCAATTAGCGAACTGTTTTTGTTCAAACTACCCAAAAGAAAATTCAATTTTAGTCAGAGACCCAGATTGGAAATGATCAGCCTGAAAGATAAAAACTATGGAATGTTATGAGTGACTGTAGACAGCACATTGGAATGGGGACACTAATTCTATCCTAACTGTAGCTTTGATATTACTAATGCTTTTACTGTGCCACTCCTGCTATTGGCAAACCGCACTTAAAGTTTAACCACAAAAGCATTGTTAAGGCACCGCTATGATAAAATACATACATCCCATGTATATTCAAATATTTTGTTGTGAAATTCAATGATACCTAGATATTTCTCTACTAGTGGATTAACAGTTATAATTTGCACCAACAACTCACATTTTAGTCAAGAATCTCTGAGAGGTTTATAAGCATAAAATAAGCCCAGGAAGGAAGGCAAACATTCTTCTGCCCATTTCACAGACAGGCAGACAAAAAAGTCACGGGCCAGATTTTCTCCTCAAAATATCAGCATCAACGCCAGCCACTGCATTTTCAAGAGAGTCACTGCAGAGCCACAACAACATAACCGAGGACGGAACTGGACCGGACCCAGTAGCACCAAACTAAAGGAATTTCAGCCTTAACCAAAAAAAAAAAAAAAAAAACAAACTGGGGATTTTTCCACCTCAAAATATAAACAAGCTCTCAGCCTCCACAGAAGTGGATTCACAGTCATCTGCTACAGTCTGTGTAGAGCACTGGAGAAGGGAAGGAACAGTGACACGATCGCAGAGGTGGGTGGGTTTTAAAGCTAGACTTTGCTGGGTTTGCCAAGCACTGGTGGCCTGAGCACGGATAATGTTTTACTGCACTGGTTCATGCCCAGGGCACGCTAGCACAGCCCGCCCAGGCACAGGAACCGCCCCGACCCCACTCCTCCGGCCCAGACCCCTCTAGGGCAAGAGGGGGAACGCGGACGAGGCTGCCTCTCTCCCACCCCGGAGCCAGGGCCTTGGACGGTTCGACGCCTGCCCCTCACCCCAGCGCAGCAAGGCCAACCGCCTCCCCCCGCCCCCGGGCCCATGCAGGGCTGCAGCCCCCGCCCGCCTCCAGCCGCAGGCTAGGGCAGCCCGCGGCCTACCCGAGCCACAAGCCGCCCAGTCTCTAGCCCGCAGGCCAGCCCCACTCACCATGATCGCTCCAAGCCCGCGGCCAGCACCAGCCCAGACAGCGTCTCCCTGTCATGTGACTCCACGGCCTCCTCGAAGCGCCGCCTCCCCCCAACAGCGACTCCTCTTCATTGGCCGACTCCAAGGAAGTCAAGGTGTCAAGGCTGATTGGGTCTAGTGAGCCACGATTGAAGCACGGGGTAGCCAATGAGTTTCAGGAATACTCCCGGCCAAGGTGGTGGCTCACGTCACGCCTGCCAGTAGCTTACGTCACGCACCGAGGACAGGAACGAGCGGGCGGAAGGGGCGGGGCCAGCTGTGGCGCGCGGGGATGCGGCCCATGGAGGAGGCCGGAGTGATCCAGCGGCTGGCGCCCAAGCTGGGCATCGCTGCGCCCGGAGTGCTCAGGTAGCGGGCGCGGCGCCGGACCCGCCCCCGGGAGCCGCCTGGTGTCCTAGGCGGGAGTGGGGGCCCGGATCCCGCCGCCCCAGTCGTCTCCTGCCCTGGGGGCGAGGGGTGGGTTAGCGCTGCGCCCCGGAGGTGGCGGGGTGGGGATGATGGGTGGCAGGATCCCTGTGCGACGGGACGCACCTTGGGACCGACGGGAGCCGTGCGAGCATCTCTTTCCTGTTAAATAATAGCGGGGAGGATCGCCCGGCGCGTTTACATTGTAATTAGGCGTGGCAGGATTCGATTTGTATTTATCGCTTCAGCAATCGCAGTTTTATTTATAGGCGTCTTTTTTGTTTGTTTTTGTCAATTTAGATTGTCTCAGTTGCACAAAATTATGGGGTTTTAATCTTGTTTTAGATTATTTAAATTTTCACAGTTGCAGGAAATTATGCTGGGGTCAGACAATCACTTAATGGCAGTAGAAGTTGATGCAAAAAGTTAAAGCTTGGTAACCATTGAAACACAAATTGTCAGCATCAGGTGTTAAAATATACACAGTAAATGTCATTAAATCAAACTTAAGTTCTCAAGCAGCATTTTTCATATGCCATCTGTAAATTTTGATTGTTGATGGAAATTTGTTGCGTCAGTTTGTATGTGTACAGTGCAATGAGAGTGGATTTTTACTTAGAAAAAAGAAAAATATTTTTATCCACCCTGAGTGAAATCAATGTTTACTAATAAAAATGTAATCCTTCCAAGCCCAACTTTAATACCTAGCTTTTAAATAGCAGTTTTCATTAGTAGATCTCAAAGTACTTTATAAAGATCAATAGCTCCATTTTACAGATGGAGGAACTAAAGCAGCGTAATTTACACATGTGCACACAGAGGCTAAGCTGGAATAGAATCCAGATAGAATCCAGGCCCAGTCCAGGGCCCTATTCTCTAGGCCATTCCCAGAAAGCTCCTTGTGCAGAGACGCTATTCCTGGATACGTCACTTTATTCCAGATTAATTAGTGTTCTCAAAGTGCACCAATTATTCTGGAGTAGTGTGTCCACACAGGAAGCTATTCTGGTCAATTTCCCTATGTAAAGAAGTCCTAGTTCTTTGCTGTTATGGTTGCAAAAAAACCATAACCTGGATGTAACTATATGGTGTACAACATAAATAATGCAGCAAAGAGTCCTGTGGCACCTTATAGACCAGGGGTCTCAAACTCAAATGACCACAAGAGCCACCTGAGGACTAGTGCATTGGCCCGAGGGCCGCATCACTGACACCCCTCCTCGCTGGCCTGGCCCCGCCCCCACTCCACCCCTTCCATGAGGTCCCGCCCCTGCCCCGTCTCTTCTCCCCCTCCTCCCCCGAGCGTGCTCCTCCCCCCTCCCTCCTGGAAAGTGCTAAACATTATACAGAGCATACAGATCACTGCTGCTCCTACAACAAGTCATTTCCAAGCGGTTTTAATAAAATATATACACTCAGTAATGCACCTCATTCAAAGGACAAAACATGCACTTAGTTAGATTTACTTCTGTTAAAGACCCCCCACTGCACTGGGCTGCACCACCACTCCACCACTGCTCTGCCTCTTCCAGGGGTGGCAGGTTTGTAGAAATTTTGGTGGTGCCCAGAACGTGCCCCCCCAAACTCCACCCCCACCTGCCTAAGGCTCTGGGAGGGAGTTTGGGTGGGGGTGGGGGTCTGGGGTGCAGACTCTGGGATGGAGTTTGGGTGCTGCGTGAAGGCTCCGGCCTGGGGCAGGGGGTGGGGGTGCAGGCTCTGGGATGGAGTTTGAAGTTAGGAGGGGGTGCAGAGGTGAGGCCGGGGGACACTCGTGGGAGGTGCGTGGGGGCGGCAGGCGGGGCCGGGGGAGAGACCCGGCCCCAAACATTGGGGAGCAGGGAGCTTAGCTGCCACATAAAATAACGGGGGAGGGGTGAAGGGAGTTTGGCTGTGACTGGAAGTAACTGGGGGGGTGGGCCTGGGGAGCTTGGCGGGCCGCAGGGAAGAACTCCGGGGGCCGCGTCTTTGAGACCCCTGTTATAGACTAATAGACGTATTGGAGCATGAGCTTTCGTGGGTGAATACCCACTTCTTCGGATGCATGCATCCAGATCCAGACTAACACGGCTATCCCTTTGATACTTAACATAAATAATGTCGTCTGACTGAGTTTGTAGGGAGCCTGACATTTATAGCTCTGATGTGTCAACTGCCCTATTTATTTCAGTGGGTGCTAACTCAGATACTAATAACTAATTAACAATGTTGAAATTTAAAATATCTCACTGTTCAGAATGTGTAAGAATGAGGAGGAAGTATGCTACTGTTAGAGCCGTACCTTGGGTAGGACGAATCGGGGTTACCACTCCAGGCCACACACTTCGGGGGGCCCTGCAGGCTGGTGCGATTGGCTGGCACAGTTGGTCCCGGAAGACCCGGTGCAGTGAGTTCCCCACCCCCGGCCGGAGCCCTGAACCGCCGTGGTAATATGGCCAACAATATCTCCGCGGTAGGCGCCGGCAGCTGCCAGCAGCAGCAGGCGGCCCAGCACCTGGCCGGATCCATCCTGCCGACCCAGCCGCCGATGCAGTGGGGCCCCCAAGCTTGGGTGTGGGGGCTGATTTGCAGTGGAGCTGGAACATTTTTAATAGTGGGGGTGCTGAAAGCCAGCCCCCTTACCCCTGTCCACCCCCACCCCGCCCCCAGCGCATGGGGCCAGCAGCCGGGATCCTGGGGGTGCTGCAGCACCCACAGCACCCTCCACACCCCTAGTTCCCGTGCCTATGCTGATTTGTCCTGGGCCCCACACCCCCCTAGGGATGGCCCTGGCTACTGTGATGATAAACACAGTTTAGGATATGTCTACACTTAAACAGCCACAAAATCTCATCCATCCACTCATATAAGAGACCACTAGCCTCTGGCTGAGTTACTGAAGTCCTCAAATCATGTTACAGAGAATCCACCATTTACACTAGTTTAAACCTGCAAGTGACCCATGCCCCATGCAGCAGAGAAAGGCAAAAAAAAAAAAACCCCAGGGTCTCTGCCAATCTGACCCTGGGGGAAAATTCCTTCCTGACCCCAAATGTGGCGATCAGTTAGACCCTGAGCATGTAGGCAAGACCCAGCTAGATACCGGTGGAAGAATGCTTGCTACCAAGTTTTAAAGAAAGTCATACTGATGAAAGTCACTGGCTAAGCATGTGGAATGGGAGTTTATTGAAGTTCTAAACCAACTTTTGACAGCTGTAGTCTCTGTTTTCTTCATTTCAGTTTATTGAACTAGTTCAGTTCAATGATGAGTTCATTGAAAGTTAAGAAACCAATTGGGAATTAGAAAAGCTTGTTTTCTTTTCCAATCTATGAATAAAAACAAGGTGGGAGGATCAGATCTTCTAGTTCTAAAATCTTGAAGGACATAGTGACCGGAAACAATCAATTTAATTAATTAACTACAGATAATTCTTCCTTTGTTTAATAAATAAGTTTTCAATGCAAAACAGTTTTGATAAAAAAAAAATGTCTGGTGTCCCGAATATTTAAGGTAGTTTTATTTAATAAAAACATTTAAAATGCTGGTTTTGTGAATATTTAATTGTTTTGAATTTCCATCCAAATAGAACTTGACACAATCACAAGTAAAAATATAACACCTAGTAAATAAGAAATGCATCATTTTCTAACATAATAAATGTAAAAATTAAGAACCTGAATAAATGTAAATTAAATAAAAGTTAAGCTATATAATTGCTTAAATAAATGTGTATAGATATAGTGAATCCTCCTGGTTAGCAAAAAGAAGTACCAAATTTAACGTGAAGGCTGTATTTAGTTGCAAATCAACATGTTTTAATGGTTACCAACCAATGAGAATCAACTTTCTTTAGGAAAATAACTAAAGTACAAATATGATTTTAAAATGTGTGATTTAAATCAATCCATTGTGGCAGGGCTCCGTGTGAGGGCAGGAAGGAGTATGCTTGTGGCAAGCCTGTTGCAGTATTGAGACCACATCAGTTAAAACACTTGCAAGCAGATCTATGCTAGGATTCCTGCCACTGCTAAGCCTCACCTATAATAGCAATAGCGGGACACCTTGCTGCAGAAAAGCATAGAGAAGGCCCTTGGCCTAAATGATTCTTCCCATTATCCACTTTAACTCTGCTGCCTTTTTAAAATCTCTTATAGGGATGACTAGTCTCTTATCACTGGCCTACTCACAGACTTGAACTGAAATAATTAAATTGGTTTTAATTCGCACCTTAAATTAAATTTAATTTGAAATGAGATAGTTCATGCATAGACTGGCCCTGAAATAACTAGAGGTGTGAATTATAACAGATTTAGTTACTTCTAGACTAGTCTGTTCCGCCCCCTCCACCCCACCCCCTTGCCTGAAACGAAAGGTTGTCTTCCTTAGATTACGCCAGCTGGTAGAGTTAGAATAAAGATGAGTTTTTACTATAAGCTTAATTATCACGAGGGTGCTCAGTGTTCTGCATGTGTGTAATGGTTATTATAGTTAAATCAAAATAAATATATATGTGCATCCCCCTGTAACATTTGAACATCACTAAGACCTATAACTAAATCTAATCTCTTAACTTCTCTCCAGTGCCTAATCCAGGGAAAGGGGTAAATTACTTTTAACACTATTCAAAATTACTTTGAATTCCTTTTAACTAAGATTTGACTGACATTTCAGTAGGCTACAACACGCTACAGTGCATACACAGTTATGCAAACCAGCCTGCCAGTGCTTCCAGACATATTTCATTGATCGCCCATTTATCTTAATCTTCTTTTATCTTGATTTAAAGCAGCCAGTCCTGGGTACGTGTGTTTGAATTCTTGCAGATGTAAATGCCACCAATCTGTAACCTCAGTGGTATTAACGAATGGCATTTTGTGTGTGTGCTCACGTGGGGATATTTTACAGAAAAGCAGAAGAATATCTGCGACTGTCCCAGGTGAAGTGCACAGGCTTATTGGCTCAGATGACAGCAACAAGCAATGCGGTGATGTGCCTGGACCTAGCAGCTGGCTATATGCAACACCCAGTGGACAAAGTAGGATACAATACGTGACATGGTTCTTTGTTCTTCCTAATGCTTACCAACTCCAATAAAACTTGTACTGTTTAGTGTATATGATGAGGCAGCAAGGAAAGACTAGTAAATTCCCATTTCCTCACATTATGGACCAGTCTGCAATTGGGTCCTTCCAACAATCCAGTGCTATTCCAGTTTTCATCAGAGGTTACCAATGGAGAATTGGAGACTAGAGTCTCCATTACATTCTGGTGTGAATTGACTTCTACTACCCCTGACTGAGGGTTCCTGAAGGGTGGTAAACAGTAAGCCAGCGTGCCCCTTTATTGTGAGAAGTGATGCAAGGGGGCTCTTAAAGCTACCAAAAGGAAGCAATGGCTTTATGTATGTCCCTCTGCCTCCTGCAAGCCTGTGGATGCCTGTTTGCAGGACTGCCAGGCAAGACCATTGTCCCCACCATCACCCAAAAAAAAAAAGAGAGACAGAAGACATAGCTGATTGTCCATATAATCTTTTGTAGATTCCTCCTCCATACATGGGAGAGGTTTCCATTGCCTAGATTCCCATGAGAAGCACTGACCCTTCATACAAATGAGCCTGGTGTCTTAGCTCTCTAAAAGGCAATTAAAAGGGCCAAATCATTTTCCAAACTGCAGCACCAGTGTAACTATCTGAAGGTAACTCTGCATTGAAACGTGTGTTGTTCCTTTGCCATTGTGTATTTTTTCCTCTTCATAGGGCAGCCTCACGTGTGTAACAGATCTAACCAAACAGTGAGCAAACAACAACAAAACTATTCAAAACAAAAATAGAAGATGGATTGATTAACCTATTCTATTTAGATGGGTTAAGTTCCAGAAGGGAAATTCTGCTCACACATAAGGTTTTGTTTTGTTTTGTTTTTCAAAGAGCTACTTAGTTAAACTCTCCGGTTTGAACAAGAGGACTTACCAGAGCTGTATGAAGTCTTTTGAGTGTTTGCTAGGTTTGAACTCCAATCTGGGAATCCGAGATTTGGCTGTACAGTTCTGCTGCACCGAGGCAGTGAACACCGCTTCAAAAATATTACAAAGGTAGGGCACATAACCTTTTATGGCCATCATTTTATTATCCATTTCTATTAAGAAATGGAAATGCTTTCTTTGTTTTTAAATAAGACTGCTCTTTAAGTATGAAAAGTCTGATTTTTCAGAGGTACTGAGCACCTGCAGCTCCCATTGACTTCAGGGAATGTTGAGTGGTCAGCACCTCTGAAAATTAGACCACTTATTTAGGAACCCATGTTTGAAAAATGTAGACCATTTGGGAATAGACTGCAGGACTCCTGACTCCCAGTCCAATTTCCTATCCACAGCCCCACACTTCCTCTCATTTAACCCTACCTGTAGCCCTTTCTCAGTCAACCTTGCAGTTCCAGGAGATATATACAAATATGAAAGAAACCACATGTCTAGAGAAATGTATCCATTCCAACATGAATCCTACATTTTCTTGATAAAAACTGTTGAATAAGAAAACTTCACAAAGTTGCGAGTCCTTTCACATAAAACCCTCTCCTCTGTGTAATATCCGCTTTAACAAAAGCAATTTTTAACTGGAAATTATAAAAAATAACAGCAACAAATGGAAGAAAGGGGAAGCCAGTAGTAATGGCTATCAATCAGAAGATAGAACTGTAGAAAATTGGTCAAGGAAGCAAAGGGACATAAGGAGACATCTATGGCCAGCAGACTTAAAGGCCATAAGAAGGGGAGGTTTTCAAGTAGGAACAAAAAGAATTCTGACAGTGGGATTAGTTCATTGCTAAATGGAAATGGTAGAATTATCAATAATAATGCAGAAAAGACAGAAGCATTCAATAAATATTTGGTCTGTATTTGGGGGGGAAACAGATGATGTAGTCATATCTTCTTCTTACCATATGTGCAACATGCCAACGTTTAACATCTTCCTAAGGTACTAGTGGAATAGAAAGTTTTATCATATGGTATGACAAAGGGAGCGTGGATCAGTGTTCATGTCGCACTCCCCATCAGTGCCCGGCCCAGGCCAGGGAAGCTAACGATTCAACTAGCAGACCAAATTCTTGGCCACCAATGGTGGCATGTGACAAGGATTCATCACCAAATTTGGTCCACTGATTGGACCACACACCATTTTGTTTAAAAAAAACTGAGAACAAAGCATAATTAACATGTCACACTTTAAATGGATTAAAAGCTGGCTAACTGATAGGTTTCAAAATGTAATTGTAAACAGGGAAATATCATTGAGTAGGTGTGTTTTTAGTGGGTCCCACAGGGATCTGTTCTTCACTCTATGCTATTTAACATTTTTATTAATGGCCTGGAAGAAAACAAAATCATCACTGATAAAGTATGCAGATGAGATGACACAAATTGAGGTAATGTTAAGGAAGTGGACAGGTCAGTAATACAGAGCAATCTGGATCGCTTGGAAAACAGGATGCAAGCACATTATGCATTTTAATAAGGCTAAATGTAAATGTAGACATCTAGGAACAAAGTAGGCCATACATACATGATGGGGACTGTATCCTGGGAAGTAGTGATGCTGAAAAGGACAGGGGGTTGTGGTGGATAATCATCTGAACCTGAGCTCCCAGTGTGACACTGTGGCCAAAAGGGCTAATTCAGTCCTTGGATGCTTAAATGGGAATGTCAAGTACGAATAGAGAGGATATTTTACTTCTGTATTTGCCAGTGGTATAGATGCTACTGTCCAGTTCTAGTGCCCACAATTCAAGAAAGATGTTGAAAACTTGGAGAGAGTTCAAAGAGGGCCACAAGAATGAGTGAAGATTAGAAAACCTGCCTTCTAGTGACCGGCACAAGGAACTCAATCTACTTATCTTAACAAAAGAAGGTTAAGGATTGTCTTGATGACAGTCTATTAGCACCTACATGGGGAACAAATATTTAATAATGAGCTCATCCATCTAGCAGAGAAAGACATAGGACAGGGGTTCTCAAACTGGGGGTCAGGACCCCTCAGGGGGTGGCGAGGTTATTACATAGGGGGTTGCAAGCTGTCAGTCCTCACTCCAATCCCGCTTTGCATCCAGCATTTATAATGGTGTTAATATATTAAAAAGTGTTTTTAATTTATAAGCGGGGGAGTCACACTCAGAGGCTTGCTATGTGAAAGGAGTCACCAGTACAAAAATTTGAGAACCACTGACATAGCATAATCCAGAGGCTGGAAGTTGAAGCTAAACAAATTTAGTCTGGAAATAAGGCATAATTTTTTAACTGAGATAATTAACGATCTACACAATTTATCAAGGGTCATAGCAACTTTTAAATCAGATTGGATGTTTTCCTAAAAGATCTGCTCTAGGAATTATTTTGGGGAAGTTTTATGGGCTGCGTAACAGGAGATCAGACTAGATGATCATACTGATCCCTTTGGGCCTTAGAAGCTATGAATCCTGGGCTGCAAAGAACAGTCTTCACTTATGTAGCGGACACTCTTCATGGCTGCATCATATTTAAAGATTAAGGCTATTGAAACTTACCTATAGATGTTTCCTTGTATAAAAAGTACACCTGTCAGTCTGACAACTATAGATTGAAATAAATGGTCTGTTGGCTGTTTCATAATACTCAGAGAATGAAATTCACCTCTGTGCTGAGGGCTCACAAAGCCTTCTGCCATGCTTAAACCCTATATCAAGGGGTTACTGGGGATTAAATGGTTAAAAGAGCTATGGGCAGACCCTCTGCACTGGGATGAATTGAATTCAAAGTGGCTTATCACATTTTTTAGAGATAGTTTATAGATATTAAGTACTAGGTTCCATTGAGTGTGGTGAGTAGGTAGAATAGAGACTGTGCTGACTCCACCTTGTCCCCTCTGCCTGATTTCTTGATCTAAAATAAATATCACACCTCCACCCCCCACCCCCTATCTCAGGAAGTGCTGCCATCCCTTTCCCGTCTTTGCCTCTTTCTTCTGTTCTCAGGCAGGAGTAGAAAATGCTTGTGCCTGGCTGAGACAAAGAACGAAGCAATCTTGTACCAGGTCTTTGTTCAACTCCAAAGTAATCAACTTCACAAGCTTTGTTTAGAAGCAAACTGGCTGTGTAATAAACAATGTTGCTCTCTTTTAGGTATGAATCCAGTCTCTCTGAAATGCAGCAGATGGATCTTGATTTATCAAAACCCTTGTTCACAACAGCAGCATTGTTCACAGCCTGCAGGTATGCTCTTCATACAATTACATGCTGGGTGAGATTCCCCATTATTCTAACAGCGAGAGCACAAAATCACATTCTTGGATTTTCCCCCAACTCAGGCATGCTGTACATGATAATGAAAGATTTCACAAGTGTGAAATAGCTGTTACAGTGCAAACAGCTGCTCCAGGTTCCAGAATTCCTTAATATCCTAAAGGACCGTTAGGTGGTTAAATGTATCTTGTAGCACTACTCTCAGAACCCCAGATAGTCTTGACAGCCTGCTGAGGCTAATGTCTTCCTTGCAGTGAAGTATTCAGCCTAGAACTAGATTGTGTTTTGCCTCGGAGAAAGAAAACATTAAATCAAACACTTAGTCTAGTAGCCCAAAGGCAAATCACATGATTTTATAAATATTGCCACTGGTACTTAAAGTATTATGGATGGATGATTCTATAGTGTGAGAGTCATCTGAAGATCATCTGTTGGGTGTGTTTGACCTTCCATCAAACCTTTCTCCCAAACCAACATAAGAATCTTACTAGTTAATATCTTGCATTTGGTGGGAAGATTGTTTCTGTTTGCCAAGATGTACTAGAGTGTATTTGAGTTGGTCATATAGCAGACAAAGATGTCTGTGGAATGTGCAGTGGTAATGAGACGATGTCTTGCATTCAAATTGGGAGCCATTGCAGAAAGGCTAAAGACTGACAAGCTCCAAATAGTCATCTGTTTCTCTGCCTCCCCCACCCCGCAGGCAATCTTGCCTTTGAGACATGGAGCCCTCTAAAGAGAGAGCTGTAACAGCCTGCAAGTTAGTGTCCAGCAGACAATGACTCAGGAAAACCCACATGGACTTTTACTGTACATGAATCTTCCCCCAAGCTAAGAGTTATACATGTTAGAAATCTTATGAACCAGTCTGGCTTTAGGGGTGCTGTACAGTTCATCAGATGAGCTTTAAAAATGAGCACCTGTCTACTGGGGTGAAAGTCCCATTTGGCTCATTGCAGGAGTAGGATTGTTTACTGTCCTGGCCAAATTACAATTTGTAGAACTACTTTCTTTCTATTTAAATTTCCCCTTGTGATTTCAACAAGGTGTGAAATTTTTCACTTCCTGTTCCAAATTGTTACATGCTGTTAGGATTAATTGATCATCACAGCTTCCCTGTAAGGCAGATGGGTATGGCTCATCTCCTTTTTTACAGACGGAAAAACTGAGGCAGGAAGGAAGTCTCTTGAGCAAGGTCACAAAGTGAGTCAGTAGCCAAGTTGGATATGAATTCTGGAATTCCAGGCCCCAGCCTTCTGCTTATTCTCCAAGGCAGCGCTGCCTATAAATGCATTGATCGACCTGAGTTATGTATGTCTGAATGTTGCTTCCTTCAGAAAATAAACTAACTTCCGATTTTAGGTGCTTGAAACTAAAAGTGGATAAGAAGAAAATGGTGGATACCTCTGGGGTGAAGAAGGCAATATTCGATCGGCTCTGCAGCCAGCTGGAGACAATTGGCCAGCAGATCAGCAGTAAGTGTTCAGCACTTGCAGTCTCATGCTCTGGAACGCAGGTGATGTAGCCATGCCGTTGGGTCCCACAGAGCAACATCCTTCTCTCTCTGCACCCTTTCTGAGGGCGATCTCCTTTGCTCCTATAATTTTCAACTGTTCTTTTTGTGCCAGCCTGTCTGTCCACTCCTAATTTGTCTTGTTCAGTCCACTTTCTGATCACTGCCTGTCTCGTTCCTCAGGGATGTCATGTCAGTCTGTCATCTAACTCACATAACACAGGAACTATCTCTGACTCCTCTCTTGTGCTTGCCCCACACATGGGAGCAATACAAAACTTACGGCTCTTCCTCTGCAATATGTCAAGTTCTGGCCTTTTCTTTACCGCCACACAGCTAAAACCCTCTTCTAGGTCCTGCCCTCCTTCTGCCTTTAGTAGTGCAGCTGCCACCTCTGACTGACTCTCCTGTAGTCCCACTCCATTTCGTACAGTGCAGCTGCCAAGATCATCTTCCATACGTGTCACGGAGCCCCTGTTAGAATCCCTCTGTCTCGTCCTTCTCCAGTCACCAAGTCAATGTCCTCACCTTCCTTGTACAACTCTGCCCCATCACGATTTGTGCACTTTTTCCTCGTACTCCACCCTTGGCACCCTCAGCCCCCATCCCCTGTCATTGCATCTCCTACCATAATGCTCATCATGCAGAGAATGTCCCACCTGAACTTATCCATAAAGCCATTGCTCTCTCCTCCTTGAAAACCCCTTCAAGGCCCACCTCTGTTGCTGCTCCTACAAGAAATTAGCCCATTGCTGAAACAGGGATTGTTGCTGCCATCTTCAACTGGGAAGTTTGCCAGGGAAGACACTGTTCTGGTCTGTGTGGCTTGCACCCAGCACATTGCAGGTGCTACTGTAGTAGAAATACAAAACTGAGGTGCTGGAGAAATGAGAAGCAAGAGAGAGTCCTGCCAGAGATATCAGCAAGGTAGAGGGAAGTGTGTGGGGGGGGAGTGGGGGGAGTCCTAAGTAAAGCATGAATGTGAATCATTAGGTGCCCTAGTACCCCAATGACTGTCCAAAATTAAATAAATAAAAGCAGCTTTCTCTTCTTTAAAAGGAGACTGTGCTTCACTGACTCCTCAGCCAACCCAAAGCCAGAAGACCTTGCTTGAATGCATTGAAAAGGAAGAGAGTAAGTTGTCTCTTAATTGTGAAATTAAGCTTTGATCTTCTGCTGTTGCCTAATAATGCTTTAGCTAGATAACTTTGTTATAGCTCAGTATGTCTTGAGGCTGTTCTCAACAACCCACTCCCTTCCATATGGCCAGATGTTGGAAACGCTAAGAGAGTCTAGTGCAGTGGGGCACGACCCCTCTGCAGCAATGGAGGGGGGACACGGACCACAGGCGCCAGCTTTCTCCGGGCCCCAAGGGTGCTCAACACTCAGCTCCACCCCAGGCCCCACCTCCACCCACCCTCTTCCCCTAAGCGCGCCCCACCTCTTCCCATCCCCACTCCACCCCAGGCCTGCCCCCACTCCAGCTCTTCCCGCCCAGTTCTGCCCCTTCCCCGCTCCTCCCACTCCGTGCCCCCTGCACGCTATGAAACAGCTGATTGCGGCGGGCGGGAGGGGGAGGTTGGGGGGGGTCAATCCACAGGGTCGCCAGCTAATGGGAGGCGCTGGCGGTGGAGGGGGAAAGCTGGCTGCTGGTGAGTGCTAAGCTCCTATTAATTTTTTTTCCGCGGGTGCTCCAACCCTGGAGTACCCACAGAGTCAGCGCCTGTGGCGCGGACAGATTCCATTACTGGGGAGGTGGGGGGGGGCACAAGAGGAAAAGTTTGGGCATTGCTGGCCTAGTGGAAGCACCATTACGTTTTTGTGGAGCAAGTCTAGTGGAACTAGGGTAGCCTTTTCCACTCAAACAAAAAGATAAATAAGTGAAGATCATAGTGTTAAACAAAACTACAGCTTGATTATTATTTTCTTTTAAATATTTGATGGTAGTCTTTGTGTGCATGAAATAGACTGGTATGTGTACATTCCAGGGGTCTGAGACTCAGTATTAGGCACTCTTTAGGCAAAATATTATAAATGATAGAGAGCGTTTCCTGAAAGTTTTGTTTTTGTTTCCCCCCCCCCCCCCCCCGTAGATCATGAAGATGAAGTTGAGACCCCTCGCAAGCGGCAGAAAAGTGAAACCGAAGCAAAACAAGATTATGAAGAATGGAAAAAGAGAATCCTGGAAAATGCTGCTAAGGCAAAAATGGGCCAATGTCTGACTTCAGTCTCTGGAGTGCCACCGAGCAATGTCACTACCTCTGGTTTGTAATTTTAAATCCCCCTTCACACTAGTGCAACTTAGTAGCATGTGAATTTATGGATGGTAACCAGCCATTCTTATTTATTTGACTGGCAAGATTTTAAATTGTTAAAGCCTCTCATTTTACTAAGTGGGACCAGCATTATGGTGACACACTATTACTACACAGTTGACCCAAGTTTGAAAGTTGACCCTGTGATGCCTCCCCCTCGGACCAGTGCAGACCTCAGCTCTAGGACATGGAGTAGCCTTGCTACTTTTAAGCAACAAACAGGCCAAATAATGGTGCAGTATTAAGTAACCTCTGAGAAGGTTGCACACTCTTGTGTTCCGAACTGAAGCTTCAGTCATGGTTACTAAGGTCTATGGAAAGGTCCATCCATGAGGAAACCACTTGTGTCATCGGCAAAACAAAAGTGAGGAATTCAGACTGTTAAAACTTTTTTATAGCCATAATATCTGATTAAATAAATTTTCTACTGTGTATGTGGGACCTAAATGTTTTTAGAGAGCAATAAAGATTCTTTTTCCTATATCTGGATCTTTAGTTTAAGAATTTGCATATGGTCCTAGGGTTGCTTCGGTGACCTCTTATCACTTTTATTGTATAAATACCATCAGGATCAAAATCTAAATGGGTTTAAAGAAACTTTCTGTACTTACTTAAAATGTTTCTTTACGTCCAGTAATAAGGTCTACAGATCTGTGATAAGAGGTACTTCAGTCTGCTTGCAGCTTGGGAACAGAATCAAATCTGCCAGTCAGTGGCAGCAGGAGAATGCCCCATCCTCTGACGTTGCCTCCACTTGACTACTTCCACAGCCAGCATAATTCATTTTTTTCCTCCTACGTTAGATTAACTATACTTTGATGGAAAAGCACAAGTTTATCCTATGGCAGAGCCTGGGGTTAACTTCTAACAGAATAAACCCGAATCTTTGGATGTCACTTTCCATCTCTGCTCTGGGTGATATGTTTTTCTCCAGGGTGAGCTGGATCTGACTGGACTCTGTTTCTCAAAGAAAGGACTCTTTCAGGTAAGCCAGAACATTTCCTATTCATTGGGCTAAAATACAGTGGGATTTTCACAACTGTGTGCCTCCACTGTTGGAAAAAAGATCATTATCTATTTACATTGAAAATGAGGTTTATGGAAAAGTTGTGAAGACTACTTGTCTGCAGTAAAAGTACAAACCTGGGTCTCATCTGAGGAAGCTAACTGAATAAACTCATCTGCATAAAGATAGTAATCATACTTCCTGTCCATTCGTGTGGACGTCGTGATGACACCTACCATGGGAGTGCTGCACCAAGCAGGAACAGGTTCCAAGGCTGCGCTCTCTACACGCGTGGGGCTGGAATCACTGTAGTTGCCCTCAGGAAGTGCAGAATGTCAGGGTTTGTACAAAACTTCATTTTGTGAACATGCTGAGAAGACTATAGTGCTTGGATGCTAATACACCTCAGAGGGTTGGGCATTCCTCTGCTGTCACTGACTGATAGGTGTGGTTCTGCACTCAGGTTGAAGTAGCCATTGTAACAGAGCTGTGGAAATTAGTACAATAAAGTGAACTCCTATGTTTGTCTCCTCTCCGCACCCCATATTTCCACACCATGCCCTGGTATAAAGGACACGACTAGCCTGTTACAATATAATGCATATATGAAATTAAAGTGAGAGGCCCATCTCCAAGGTTAACGAGTAGAGATACGGTGCAGAATCTCGCCCTTCAGAGCCAAAGCATGGAATTTACAGAGGCAGGGTAGGTAATCCTGCGTTAAGCCACCTTTGGGTCATCCCACTACAAGGCTGCTCTGGGCCCCCAGCATAATTAAAAGAGCCTTGTGCACCGTCTGAGGTATGGCACCCTCACTCCCACTGCCTGCCAGGAATGGCAGTAGGGCAGAGGGTACAGCCCCACCCCACCAGTACATTGACACCTGTGAAGCAGGTTCCTGGGGGAGCTTTTGGCCTGCACCAGGGGAGTCCTCCCAAAGCTGGGAATTGGGACTTTTAGGGCCATGGCTATGGAAAGGGGCCAGACTATCACCCTAAATCTCTTTTAATCCACTGCTTCATTTGTACGGGGCTGTGGTACAAAAGTCCTCTCTGATGTAATAAGGATGAAACCAAAAGGGTTCTATAGAAACTGCTGGGTTGTTTTTTTTTTTAATAAATTGAAAGAGTTCTGCAGAGAGGTTGTGGGGGAGGGGAGTTGTGAAAGCCTGGCCTGCTACCATCTACGGGATGGATATTCTGAAGGGACTTTCATGTTAAGAATTAAGGTCTGAGCCTAAAGTAGGCAACTGAAAAAACTAAACATCAAGGAACAGGGTGCAGCCTGCAGTCAGCCTAAAACATATATCATGAATAAGGCTACGTTTTAGTCACGGGTATTTTTAGTAAAAGTCAGACAGGTCACGGGCAGTAAACAAAAATTCACTGCCTGTGACCTGTCCATGACTTTTACTATATACCCCTAATTAAAACTTGGGTTGGGGGCTGCAGGTGCTTGTGTGGGGCGGTGGTCTGGGGGTGCCGTGGGTGCTGAGGGAGGTGGCTCGGGACCCCGATGGTGCTGGGATGGGGGGGAGTTGGCGAGGCTGGCAGGGGCTCCCTACCCTGCTCTGCGTGTCCTGCAGCTCCTAGGCAGTGGAGGGGCCAGGGGGCTCCGCGCGTTGCTTCCACCACAAGCACTGGCTGCGCAGTTCCCGGCCAATGGGCGCAGCGGAGGTGGGGCCTGTGAGCATGGACAGCTCGCAAAGCCCCTTGGCCCCTCTGCCTAGGAACTGCAGGGCCACGCCAGTGGGCGCCGGGGACCCTCCCATACCCCGAGGTAAGCATCCCCCCACCCCTCTGCCCCTAGCCCTGAGCTCCCTCCCACACACCCAAACTGCTGCTGCTGGCCCAGGGCCAGCACCAGCCACTGCAGTAGTCACGGAGGTCATGGGAGGTCACGGATGCCGTGACTTCTGTGACAGACTCGCAGCCTTAAGCATGAATAAGTAAGGGCATCCATCCATTATCCATTTACAAAGACAAGGTAATGAAGAAGAGATAGCATGGCATCTGACCAGCTTCTTAAGAGAGAAGTTTGCTTATCTCTCTCTTCTCTTCACCCACTCTACTCCACCCCGTTTTACAAAATTTAAGAGTGAACGTGGAAGCATTCCTCCCGGTCAACTTACATTTGTTTTGGGGTTGGTTCAAGTTAAAATTTTAATAAGTTGATTCAGGAAGAGGCCAGACAAATGCTGAAGAGCAGGGCAAACACGGAGCAGTCTCAACTCACTAAGAATAGCTGTAAAATGAGATTCCAGAATTTTTTTCTAAATCAGATTTCATAATATCGAAGGAGGGTCCACACTCTGGGAGAAAGTCAGTTATAAAGGGCTCACCAATGCTACCTTTACATTAGACTGATTACTGTATTTCAGACTCGAGAGAAATAGGCCAGTTACATTTTTACTGAGATTTATTAGTGTTAATTTCGTAACTAGGCATACTAACAATAACTATTTACCATGCAATGTCACTGGGGAGGGGAAATGTGAACAAGCTTGGGCCTTCATGGAAGGTGATCCCTTGTCAAGATTTTTTCATGTAACTTTTGTTGCCCTCTGACATAATGCCAAAAGTGCTGTACAAGTCCAGTCCATCTGGAAGTGAAGGGAGACGTTCTAGAACTGAAAAGCTAGACAAGCTTAACATTAAACCAGTGTAAGCAATTTTTAAGGTCTTGATGAGGGCTGGTAGCAACAACCACCTTAGGCAATTGAAGGGCTATGAGTTAATGGGAGTAAAATAGTGATTTGATTAGGCTTAATGTGCAGTCTTAAGCTGCTACTGTTAGTGATAAATTATTTTAATCAGCTCACATAGAGTGGTGCAGCCTCTAGGTTAGCCACAAAGGAAACAGCATGCCAGCCACCTCTACAAAAGTGCCTGATAAACATTAAGGAAACGCAATTGATACTGGGCTTATGTTATATGGGGTGCCTCCAGCTTTATAAGCCTCAGGAAAAAAATCTTTGGTTCTTGAAATTAACCTTTTTCTTCACAATACTAATTTACTTTTGTTTTTAAACAATCAGAAAAAGGGCAACAGTTCCCATGTGACTGAAACAGAGTCAAAGGCTGGCAATTCACTGATTCTCCTCCCCCACCCCACCATCCCCAGCAGCTGAACAGAAACAAAAACCAGTTCATCTGTTACAAAGCAGTAGCTTTTCTGTTACACTTCATGGCATTTGGTAGAAGTGTTGAACTCAAATATCAGCTTAGAAAACTCACAGCTACAGAAAAGCATTGATATGTTTAAAATGTACCCCCTGAAACTCACACCCAGAGGGGAGAATAAAAGAACCTCTGTTCCTGGGGAGGAGGTGACACCTAACTGCACAGTATTGCATCCACCAGATTGTCATCCCAATTGTTTTTTATTTGTGGCAGTTGAACCTAGATTCATGCCAACCTAAAGAGCTATTTAATCAGTTTGACCCATTATAAATATAGAGCAGTAGGGGACAATCTGTCTTAACTTGTGCCAGGTTTTAAATGTCTCTGAAAGCAGTAGGTTTTGTTTTAGAGGATAATGTGGAAGACACTTTTTCTTTCTACTCTGACTAATTGCCATGCATTATTGTGATGCTTCTGTGCAAAAAAAAAAAAAAAAATGGGGGGGGGGGTGAAGGGGAAGAAAAAATAAAAACCTTTTTAGAAGAAATGTAGAAAAACTGCATTTCTCAACCTCAGTTTTGTCCCTGGGTATTTTGCTTTAAGTAAAAGTTATCTTTGGGGAAACTATAGCACTATTATCCCTCCAAATCTATCACCACTGTGGCAATGCCCTAAAAGTGATAGTACAGCATCTCATTAAGATAGAAAGTCTTAAGGTATCCCACTGCTGCTGACCAGGTGCTTGCTGCTATACTCCACCCTTTGGATTTATATAAATAATCAAAGACTTCCAAACGAAATGGGTCTCACTCAAGGAATTTAGCTGCTAATTATGAGCATATCATCATAGCTATAAGTGGAGTTATATCAGGAATATTTATGTATCACTATGTCCAGTAGCTGAGAGCTTGTAAAACAGAACTATGGAAACCCCTGTTTTATAAAGATTAGTAAAATTCATTCTATGTTGTTGTGCTCTGAGACAGTTCTGGTATCTAAACACACACATGATACATAACATGAGGATGGCAGAAGTGGTGGGGGAAGAGAGAGAAACATCCAGTCCTTTTCTCTCTGCTTCATCTCTAGCTCTAATGCCTATAGCTCTTCCACAGCAGCTTATGCAAGGTTGACAGACATGCTCGGAAACCTTCTCAGCCGATTGGCAGCAGCTACCACGTAGAAATGTTTCTGTGAACGAAACAGAAAAACCTAAATGTGAGCATAACTGAGCCAAAGCATACTTTGCAATTAACACTGATGTTTTTCAATAAGGGACTCTGAATAGTAAGTGCAGATTGTTTCTAGCTCCCAGACCTCTGCACTGAATACTACACAGAACAGCCTTCTGTTGTGTCACTCCCATATTGATTACACATTGAAGAAAGGGTAATGTAACTATGTCAACTGAAAAGTGGTAGGAGTGGAAGGTTCATGAAGTTTTTGAGGTACATTTGTAGGCTTAGTGAAATTGGAGGAACTAATCAGCATCAGTTTTCACATCTTCTGTTGCACCTGTCAGTCTTGGGAAAGCCAGCTAGCTCTAAGTACACCTCCATTCTTCTGTAGCTCCTAATTAAATCAGGGTTACATTTAAAATAACACAGTCCCCTTCCTCACAGGAGAGTCTTGTAAATAAACTGTCATAGGAACAGCCATAATGGATTAAATAGGTTAATCTCCTGTCTCTGGATAATAGCCAGCGTGTTACCAACTCACAGGCAACAGACATTAATTATAACACTTTAGGGACCCAAGGTGTCAGCATGATCAAAGGAAAAGGAGCTATCTATGATTAGTGTAATGTTAACAATGCTAGAAGAGTGACACTTGAATCCTCTCCATTGGGAATCATGAAATGCTTTGTACTAGAGAATACTCTTTGTGGCTGTAAAAGAGTGTTTATACAATGAACAAAAGGCTGTATGCATCTGTTAGCAAATGTGTAATAAAATAGCTTGGGATGAAGACATTTTTAAAATGCAACAAGTAGCAGTAATTCTGGAGTTTGGGCAAGTAAACGAAGTTTAGTCTTCAGGGTCTAACTCATTAGCAAGGTTTTGCTACTCTCACCAGTGTGTAAAAACTGAGTTGGAGTTCATCCTCTTCCTATAGGTTAAATCTTCCAGGGTTGTTGTGTCCCTCCTTTGCAGAGTATGATTATTGATCACCTTTTATGGAAATTCCTACATATTTACTGAGAATGGTTCAAGAATTAGCAAGAGATTATCAGTGGTCCTGAAAGTATGTAATTTTCCATCTGGCTGGATCGTGACACAAGAAGGTCAAGTAATTTTCCCAAGGTTGTACAGTGAACGAGGGACTCAGAATGGATTTGAATTCAGATTTTGCTTGGACCTAGACCTTTGCGATGAATACTACACAAAATAGCCTTCTGTTGTATCATTCCAATATTTCCTATACATTGAAGACAGGCTAATGCAACTATATCAACTGAAAAGTAACTGCTTTTGCTTGGAAGGTTACACATTTAACATAAAATAAACAGTGTCTGAAGCCTTTGAATCCCTGGAATTTTACAACTAATTTTTTTGAAACACCAATAAGAAATAAGAGTAAAAATTTAGAAACAAAGTATCTAAACTCAGAGATGCCGTGACTTAAAAGAGCAAGTGAACACTCAAATCTATAACTGCAAATATAATTACCAAATTCATATTGCAAGGAAGATCTCCATGTTTAGAAGAGGACTATGACAAAGAAGGAATACGGGCCCTGCCTGCATTGAACTAGTACAATCACTCTTCTTTGGAAATAATGACAGACTTCGTCTATTTACCTTCCATTTTCTATGAGCCATGTAACTCCGTAGCAGCAACTGGGACTTCAGGCAAAGCTTGGATTTCTTGGCTTTGCCAGGCAGATCATTTAGCCACTCGTGTTTCAGACACTGTGCTGCGCTCATCCTGCAACTAGAAAATAAAATTTGTGAAGGGCTGTGCTGTAAATGTTGCTACCACTATTGCGATTTACACAGAATCTCCTTGTCTGCTTGCAGTGGAATGGTTCAGCAGCTCTTCGCTGATACCACGTGTGAAAGGCTATTTTTTCTAAATGAAAATAAAAGTAAAGTAAAAGGCCCTTTATAGCTGCCAGGTATCTCAGCGCAGAGAGCCTGCATGAAGACCAATTCTCACTCCTACCCTCCAGGTGGATCTACGTGGTGCTTAGAGGTTTTTTAGGTTCTTCTGCACTTGGATTTATGCCTGAGTATTGTGTAGCCTTGTTGCTCTATTATTTGGATGTGATTTTGGAATGGGAATGGTAGAACACATGGCATTTATGTAGGACTGTGCCAAGAGCATCAAAGAACACAGAGATATTAACTTGTGGTGTTATGTAGTCCATCTCCCCTGACAATGCAAGAGCATTCCCTTCTGTATATTTAAGGAGGATCACAGATGCCCACAAAAGTCAATTAACACTAATGAGAGCATCCATGTGTAAACAAAAGGTATGGCTTTCAAGTATTCCTCCTGCAGCTGGCTGGAAACTTACAGGTTCTGTTTCAGATTCAACTAGCCGCACACAGCTTGTCTTTGGGTTCAGTACTTTGGAGATGTGACAGCCAAAAGGCTGATTTATAACTGAAACAATTTAATTGTAATAAAAATAACTACAGTATGTAGACAATCAACAAGGTGCTCAATAGGAGATCATTTCCATGAGCCTTCGAAAACACATGGAGTACAAGAAAATCCTGGATCTTTTCTTTTTGGGGCTCCTTTGTGCAATTATTTTTTTTTAATTTGAACTTGCCTTTGAACTTCAATGTGAAAAGATAGGGCTAAGTCCTGCCTTTGGCTCCTGCCACTCAAGGAAAAAGGTGTCAACAGAACTGATGGTTAGCAGCCTTGTGCATAATGTGAGCAGCCAGCCAGAATCCCTCCTGGTGAACAGGAACGTGCTAGGAGCTAGGACAAGCTGTTGCACAGGTCATCCCCAGCTGTCTCAGGAGGGAAGGGTTTGCTGTGGACTGGTCACTCCCCTTTCTCCAAGAGAGTGAGCCACAGCCTGTCATTATGCCTAGTGAGCAGCTGGCAGATCCAACAATGCTGCTTGCTTATAACAATAATTAATAATCATCTGCCCTTAAATAGCATTTTTCATCCCCAGATCTCTAAGTACTTTGCACAACCTTAAAGCATTACTAATTTCTTTTTACAGATGGGAGTCTCTGAAGTTAAGATCCCACAGCAAGTCAGTGGCCGTCAGGAGCAGACGGCTTGTCTTCTGACTCCTAGCCCTCTGCTCAAGTCCACTAGATGACAATTACCCTTCCAGTTTAATGCCCATCTTAACTTTCATTGACAAGTTAGTATTAAGAAGTTTATTATTAAATCTCATTTGCATAGGTTAGCTGACAGCATGGGCATGGGAACTATAGGTGTGGGGGGTGCTGCAGCACCCCCACGTTTTACACGGGACCGCTGACCCCAGGCCCAGGCCTCCTCTCCCTAGCCTAGGGCTTGGGTCCCCGCCGCCGGCCCTGCTACCCGGCCGCTGACTCCATACCTGGGTCTCCGTGCCAGGGCCCTGCTCCTGGCCCGGGGCCCCATGCCCCAGGACTCTGCTCCCTGGCCCTGCATCCAGGTCTCAGGTCCCAGCCACTGGTCTCGCGCCCTGCTCCCTGGCCACTGGCCCGGAGCCCAGCTGCCAGCCCCTCTTCCCAGCCGCTGGCCCTATGCCCGGGGCCCCGCGCCCGGGGCTCTGCTTTTGGGGCACTGGCCCCGCTCCCTGGCCACTGGACCCGTGCCCAGGGCCCTGCACCTGGCCCCCCACTCGTGGGGCTCTGCTCCCAGGGTCCTGGCAGCTGGCCCTGTGGCTGGGGCTCTGTTACTGGCCCCACATGAGAGGTCCCGGCTGCGGGCCCCCCCCAGCCTTTGCTGTCCCCTGTCTGGGTCCCCCTCTCCCGGAGACATGGCACTGCTCCTGGCCCCAGCTGGGGAGGATACGGACAGTGGTAAGGGTGCTGGCTTTCAGCACCCCCACTATTAAAAGGGTTCCAGCACCACTGGCTGACAGTCTGGAAAAAGCCAGTGTTGTAAGTGTTCCTGTTGACAATTTTCTCCTAGAACAATGTGAAACATTTCCATTACTGGTAGAAGGAGTCACTGGACACATGTTCATCAAAGCAAGACGAGGCCCCTGTAACTTCATTCGGCATCAGTATTTGACAAGCTGGGCCACATTCTGTCCTGCAATACAATGTATACAGCTCCCTTTGACTTCAATGGGAGCTGAGCGTATGACTCCTAGAGCAGAACTAGGCCCCAGATGGTTCTTTGTACCAATCCAGTGTATGGAAGGCACTTAGATTGGGAATTATGTCACTTTCATAACTGCAGCTGCTACAAATCACCTTTTGTATTTTGAGAGACATTTTTGCAGTTTGTATCAATGCTTATAAAGAAGCCAAAGTGAGGACAGAACTAGCTCCTGGACGTATGTGAAAGGTTCTTCTTAAAACAAAACAAATGATTCCACATTTCCTCTGCTTAACCTCTCTTGCAACAGGCACAGTTACTGGGAGAGCCTTTACCTTGATTGAAACACACTGACATTTTTCTTTTAAAAAATGAGGTTTGTGTCACTACAGAACTGCCTGGTAGACATGAACATGGCAAAAGAAAAGTCATGGTACTAACTTTCAGTGATTGGCTGCCATACATACATTTAGCTAGGAAGGACTTATTCTAAATGGTAGGACTGCCGTGGCAAACATAGAAGAAGATACCTCTTCTCCTTCACAAGGAGTTTGGAAATAAAGTCTTTTGCCTCTTCTGAGAGGTGTTCAAATGCTTCTGCATCAAAATCCCAGCTGCAGTTCACTATGTAATTCATTGTCTCTGCGTCCGTTTCTCCTAGGAATGGTGATAAGCCACTGAGCCTTTAAAAGAGAGAGAGAGAGAAATGGGCAGCTAATAATGGGAAACATGTTTTTCTCCTATGTATCCTCATTGTTGCTTAGAATCACACCAGTCACATAGAAAAGAGGGTTCCAGCTAGATACTGTCCGAAAGGCCAGTGCAACATTTGCTATGGTGGGGCTTGGGTACCTGGCTCAGTCCTTAACTACTCACGTCAGTGGGGCTAGGTCAGTGGCACAATAAAGCTCAGTCAGGAGGGAAGGAATGCTTCACATTGCCTATTTGCAGCTCACTCAGCCAACTCAGGGGTCAGAGTTAATGGACGCCCAAGGAATTGAATTCAATGCGATGAGAGCACATGCTGAACTGCTTCCTCAGAGAAGAATAGGACTGCTCACCTGCCTAAAGCTAAGCATGCACACAAGTGCTGAATTGAGGCCTAAATCCGTATTTACTTTGGATTAAAATACTGTTTGAAAAATATTTTCTTCAATTAGTCTCTAAGCCCAGATTTGTTTCTTCAATAATTTATGACTGGATTCACATACACATTTTTTCCCCCTGGCTTCTACATAAACTTAAATAAAAAATGACCCAGGCCATTGAAAACAGCTACAAAAAAATGTTGTGATGCTGTGTAGGTAGAGAGCCTGTAGAGATGACCCCCCACCCCTCCGTACTCCCCCTGTGGCCCACAACCTAAACTCCAGGAAAGAAATTTAATCCCATGTGTGGCTGTGAAGTGAATTTTTCAGGCCCAGGAAGTAACTCCCCACAGGGCAGGAATAACTCTTGTGTGCGTGTTGGGTGCAAAAGTCCTTTTGGATCAGGTTCCCAAGGGCCTGATTTAAATGAAAAGATAAGTCTGGGACCTCAATAACACATTGAAAGCAGAAGTTCTGTTATGTTTCAGGCAACTGATTACACTTTGAGTAAATAAAATGATTTGTTTTGTTTTTATTAACTAGACACCAAGGCGGCAAAGAGAAAGCAGAGGGTTTAAGTATTTAGAATGAAGACTGATTGTTTTTCAGGTATTTCAAGTTGTGTAGCAGTGATGTTCACTTTCATTGGCTCTCTCTTTTGGGTAATGAAGTGAGTGCAACAAGAAAGACATACTCCCTAGATGGGAATCTCTGAATCGGCTGCATTACAGCTCTGCAAATACCTTCCATTGGCCTTTCTTACAGAGCATATGTTGCCATGGCCATGACCCACACAGAGGCTTACTCACAGCATGTACGTGATGACGCCTACACTCCACATGTCAGTTGGGAACGAAACAAAGTCATAGTTCACCACTTCGGGAGCCAGGAATTCAGGAGTGCCAAAATTAACTTTCAGCTTCTCACGAGGTTTATACCTTCATCAGAAACAAGAAGGGGCATCAGCACTGACAGCAGACTAAGTACATGCACTGCACACTTGCAAAAAGAACTGTCATATTTTTCATACTGTAGCAAAGCCGGACAGGTACATTCTATATCTAAGTCTTCAAGCATGCAGAATTTCAGTCTGTGCATCCTCACAGAGAGTTTTTTATAATTCACAGTCACTTCCAATTAGTTTGATCAAATGTTTAAGTGAATCAGCCATTTAAAACTGAACAAAATCAAATAAACTAAATCATTTGTATTAACTTTTTGTCTCTAGTGAATCAATCTCTTGGTGCATATTCTAACTTTGGCACTCTGCTTCAATTCAGAAAGTCACAGTTATAAACAGCTCATTATCCATAATTTAATTTTCCTAATTTAGACATATGGTAGTATGGCAGGAGAAGGAGCCAGAGAAAGACTCAGGACAATAAAAATATGGTTGCAACTAAAAGTTGCATGATTACATTAGAATCACTGCCATGTCTTCTGCAAACTTCTGTATGCCCCAGTGTGGTGATTTAGCTAATAAGATCAATCCAAGTCACAGGAACAGATGTGGATGAAATAGGCTGGGGGCACTACAGATGGTTTTCTATGTTATTGCAGAAAAAAATCAAATTGGAATAGCTAACATTCAGGCACATGTAACCCAACCTCTGTCACTTTTATAGATATTATGTTTGAGTGAGAAATCTCTGGCACAAGTTCTAAAGAAATCATCCTCAAACTAGAGAGACAAGGTGGGTGAGGTACTATCTTTGATTGGACCAATTTCTGTTGGTGAGAGAGACAAGGTCCATCCTCAATCCTCAAATTGGCAGACACAGGGCTTAATTCACGTTGCAGGTACATGGTAGTGTAACCTACACGCCCCCATGTGGCGACAAGCTTTCCACAAAGAGAGGTATATAGATTGTAATGGATTTTTTACCTTCACAAAGAGAGGGCAGCTTTAAACTTTTGCTGGGCTCCAGAGGAGACTCATGAGCAAAAGTTGTCCAGAATATGCACTGAATCAACTTCCATTTTTAGGCAAGTTTGGAGATATTTTGCTCAGCAGCACCCCAAACCATAATTCACTGTGTAAAAGTGCTCAGATCACACAGTTATGAGCAGTGGTGTAGCCAGGTCCTAAGTGCAGGGGGAGCAACCATAAAAAGGTGCCCCCCCTTGGCTCCTCCTCCGGCCAGTCCGCGCCCCTCCCGCTGGCTCCTCCAGCCACGCTGCGCCCCCCCCCTTGGCTCCTCCAGCCATGCTGCGGCCATGCTGCGCCCCCCCTTCGGAGGGGCTCGGTCCGGGGGAAGGGGGCCAGGTGCTGCCCAGCCCTGCTGGTTCCCGCTGAGTCCGGTGCGACCTAGGAGCCGGCTCCCCACGGGGAACGGAGTTTGTCCCCGTGGCTCAGGCGGGGAGCTTCCTTCCAGCTCGTCTCCTCCTGGGCTGGGAGCAAGTGCCGGGCTCGCTGTCCCTCCTCCCCAGCAGGGGCTCAGGCAGAGCGGGCTAGCGGCGAGGGCTAGCTGGGGCTGGCGGCTCCCCCCGGTGGAGCAGCAGGCACAGCCTTCGCGGAGGCCGGAGGGCTCCTCATGGCGGAGGTGGGGGGAGAGCCGCACGGCTCCAGCCATGTTCCGGGAACTGGGGCTGCCGCCCTGGGGCCCAAGCCGGGCCGCAGCTGCTGGGGCCAGGGTGCTTGGCCGGCGCCGCTCGGCCAGGGCCGGGGCCGGGCCGGCGCCCCGGGGCCCGACCCGAGCTGGGCCGGAGCCACTGGGGCTGGGACCGGCGCGCTTGGTCAGAACCGGGGCTGGCGCCCTGGGGCCCAAGCCGAGCCGGGCCGGAGCTGCTGGGGCCGGAGCCGCCAGGGCCCGGGGTGCTCGGCCGGCTCCACTCGGCCAGGGCCGGGATCAGGCTGGCGCACTCGGCTGGAACCGGGGCCAACGCCCCAGGGCCCGAGCTGAGCCGGGCCGGAGCTATTGGGGCTGGGGCCGGCACCGAGCCGGGCTGGAGCCAGGGATGCTTGGCTGGCACCGCTTGGACAGGGCTGGGGCCAGGACCGGGCCAGCGCGCTCGGCCGGAACTGGGGCCGGCGCCCCGGGGCCCGAGGCGGGCCGGAGCCATTGGGTCTGGGGCCGGCGCCGAGCCGAGCCGGAGCTGCCGGGGCCGGGGGTGCTCGGCTGGCGCCGCTTGGACAGGGCTGGGGCCGGGACCGGGCCGGCGCGTTTGGCCGGAACCGGGTCCGGCACACTCGGCCGGCATCCCGGGGCCGGGGCCCGAGCCGAGCTGGGGCCGGCCAGGGCCGGAGCCACTTCGCCGGGGCCGGAGAGAGCCGCTCGGCCAGGGCCGGACTGGGCCACACCGCGCCTCCCCGGAGCCCTCCTCCTCGCGTCCCCCCACCCCACCCCAGCTTACCTGCTGCTGCCGGCCTGCCCCTGCTTGTTTTCAGACTTCCTGCGAACATCTGATTCGCGGGAAGCAGGGGAGGGGGAGGAGCAGGGGGGCGGAGCATTCAGGGGAGGGGAGGAGTGGGAAGTGAGCTAGGGGAGGGGTGGACAGCTGTGGGGCCCTTTTAGGCGCGGCCGGCCCTGCTCAGGCGCCGCTTTTGAAAAATGTGCTGAGGGGAAGCGGCTGCTTCCCCTGCACCCCACTAGCTACGCTACTGGTTATGAGCACAGTATAAATGCCCAGATGGAACCCTGAGAAGGGACCATTATTTGATTTTAGTAACCAGCAGGATGGTTTTGCAGGAAGTGAAAGATGTTAATAATTTGCTAGTTAATATAAGGAAGGGCTCAGTCTTGCAGTCGTCACTCAGTAATAACTCCAATTAAAGTTAATGGAAATTTTGCCTATGTAACAAGTAAGATCAGGCCATAAATGGTTGTTGTTTTTTAAAACACTACTTCTTGCATGTTTCCAAACTGCCTTTAATGAAACCTTTTCTATTGGGCACCCCTTTCCCTAAAGCTGTAACTTTGTTTGTGTACATTTTTTTCTATTTTTATAAAATCCTTTTAAAGAAAAAAGCTCTTCGAGCTGAAATACACAGGTTTGTATAATGAGGACCCCACAATGTTTAGAAAATAATTTTTTAGGTAAATATTATTATACTACCATAAGAAGTTGTTGCTTTCTTCTCGGGAGGGACTAACTCATGCCCACACGTCAGTACCTCCTGTTTTCACTCAAATATCCCTCGCCTTTTGCTTTTTCCATTAGGAAAGAGGATCATGCTTCACAGCTGCTTATGCTTTTCCCCCCATATTATTTTTTTTTCTGTATATAAAACAGGACCCTCTTTTCTGGTCACTGCATATATGTAATAATAGGCAAAGTCATAATGATGAGGGCAAACTGACTAGGATAAAAACATCATCTATCTCACTGAGCCGCTTCTGGACAACTCTTTGGAGGTACAAAAAGAAATCAAAATGCTTGAAAAATGAAAGAACAGCTTATGGATTAAGATATAATGTTTACATAAAATTTCCTTTGGCACAACAGCTATGTATCATCTGGTCAAAGCAGGGCTAATGCTGGTAATATTGCATAAGGTGAAACATAAAGGGTCAAAAATTTATTTTAGAACTGTTTAGTGAAATCCAGGTTCCACTGAAGTAAATGGGAATTTTGCCATTAATTGCAATGGATCCAAGATTTTACCCACTGGCTTTCCTCTAGTTCAGTGCAAGTGAGGGCAAAACATAGATGCAATGGAAATAGCAAGGTCTGTCAAGCCCCTGAGGACCAGGAAAGAAGGCTGGGTCTGGGTTTTTATTTAAGTTAGAGTGGTCAGAATACGAGCGGCCCTGCAAGAGAACTGGGTCAGCATAGAATAGATGTAAACCATGACCTGTTGTTTACCTAATCAAATCATCTCTCCCTACAGAATTAAGTTAACATTTCCTCAGGACTCAACTATTATTCTGTTATTACAAACTCGTGGTCACTTGCTCCACTCTGTAATACCAGACTCCCAAAAGAGCTGTGCTCCTTTTAGATGTCGTTTCATATTAACTGGAGAGAGGGATGAGAGCTAGCAGATCATAGCTGCCACCCGCCCAGACATAGACCAAGGGATTTTTTCACAGTCTCCATGGCTGTTTTGCAGAAACCTTCCCTATGGTAAGGGACCCACTCCCGAACCAAGGATATCATTGGCCCTTAACAGCTCTGTTCTCTCCTCCTAGTCTTAGGGAGAGTATGTGGAATGGTGATCAGGGAGTATTCCCCCACATGCCAACCTGGGGCAGGCACAGAAGCAACCAGGCCTCCTTCTAACCATGTCCACGTGAGAGGTGTTAAATCCTGTACCATTTGACTGATGTAAATTACCAATGTAAAAACTGGACCCCAGCTCACATATGATGCTGTCTATATGTCTCACTGCCTTTAAATACTGAACTATGTTAAACCAGAGCAACAGAAAGTGAGCATTGGTACATCTCTTGCTTGACACATTCATAGGAGTTTGACAAAGAAAACACTTGTCAAGCCTCCTATTAGTCCCTCTCCCTGCAGTTGCAGAAGTGTTCTAGAACATTCTCTAGTTTTATCCATTCTAATTTTAAATGCCCCAAGACATGGGGCTTCTATGTTTTCCATGGATGGCCTTGCTACAACTTAGTATCCCTCACTGTTAGGCTCAGATTGAGCATGCATTTTCCTTCCCTTAATTGCATTCCGTTACTCCATGTTTCACCACTATTAACTGGACCAGCTAATTCCTCTCTCTCCCCTTGCTGTTTACCCACTAATTATTTATAGGTGGTTATGCCTCACCTTAGCTGTCCTTTAGCCAAGCTATCCATATTAATCTTTTTTGCCTTTCTTCTTAAGTCTAGCTCTCTGATCATTTTTATTGCTCTCTCAGCTTCCACCAATTAAGCAATATCTTTCTGGTAATGTGATTCCTAGAAGTGAAAACAATGTTCCAGGTGCAGTCACACCAGTGCCAAAAGAGGGATCATTGCTGCCCTGCTCTGTGATACCTTTGTACATAAAGGCCAAAACTGCATTCTCCATATTGCAGCCATTTCAGATTGCAAACTCATGGCTAATCTCCTATACACTCTCATCCCTTACCCTCATCCATGAGAAGCAGACATTGTGGCAGATGAGGGATAGAGACTGTGGGGGTGAGAGCTGATCCATTGTATGCCTGTTTCAAATGGGATAGTTTTGTCATGCATTTTACTTTGCGGACAACCATCTGTCTTGGGGGTTTTAGACTGAGGCCCAGCACTGCAGAATTCGAGCACCTTCCATATAAAATCAATAACAAAGGTGAAGTCCGTAATGGACTTCCTGGAATTGCTGGAGTAAAAACTCCATTTGAGACATTACTGTGTGTAAACTAGAATACTAATACAACATTAGCCTGCAAAAACGTCATTGGAAAAGACAATATGACAGTTAGTGCGCTAAGCTGCAAATTCATGCCTGAGGAGCATATTGCTTTGCTCCTTCATATTTCAAAATCACTTTAAAGTCACTGAAATGTGTGAACAAACAGATCACAAGAATGACAGAAAAGAAAATGTCAATGGATTTTGAGTGGCTCATAATTGAACTGTCTTACCTCCTAGCTAAACCAAAGTCAATAATTTTAATCTGGTTTCCAGTGCGATTTATACACAATATGTTTTCAGGCTAGAAAAAGAAAAAAGTATATTTTTAGTTAAATAAATGAAAGTGAAATTGCACATGAGACACACTAACAAGAAGAGTAGCCAGAAACATGACCTGAAGTGCAAAGATACAGAACAATTTCAGAGAAAGATTTTTAAAACAATGCTCGTTCACTTCTTTGTTGGTTCACAGCAGTGAACCTATCAGTCACATATGTCAATCTCACCTTTATGTGGTTTACTACAATGGTGGTTGTATTTTTTCCATTCATTTCCTAAGGCTCTGTTCTAGCCTGTCACTATGTGTAGAATTCCATTATACTGATATAAATATATATTTGAGCCCAATTGTGGTGAAGGACAGCATGGTTCATGGGATGGTTATGGGGTGCCTGGAGGGCTTGTATAGGAAAAATTACTCTATAAGTCTAGTTGGGAATGTTACCCACAGATCACTTGTTGAAATGCTCCCTTAATTTTTCCTCTTAAAGGGGAGAGAATCAATGATGTGGCAAAAGAAGCAGGGGAAAATATTCAGGGGTTTATTGAGATCAACGTTTCCCCTCAGTCTGTTATTACCATGGGAGGGTGATTTTTGGGCCCCATCATCCTCCTAACTGGCTCAGTAAAATGTGTGGGCTTGGATCCTGCCTGCAGGGATTTCATTCCTTACTGCTGCCCTGGGGCGTAACTATTTCCCCAGATTTGGCCATGGCAGAGGTATCACATAACGTAATTGAAAGGGGAGGACTGAATGGACACCTTTGTGTGGAATGGTTTAGCAAGCCAGGTGGCAGACGCTATAACACTGGGCTTATTCAAGCAAGTGCAGTATCTTGAGAGACCGGAATGCAAACAAGGAATGAGCCTATTACAGCTAACTAGTGTTTGCTTTTCCATCCAAATTAAATGTGTGTGTTCTTTTTGGGTGACATTTGCAGTCTCACTTGTCAGGAGGTTAATGGAGAGTTACTGGGAAGCCACCTAGCTATGCAAGGCTCAGCACCTCACAAGACCAGGTCCTCAATCTAAGTATTATATTTATTATAAATATTATAATTATTTCACATGGCTATTGCAGTTGGGGCGTTTGGAAAAATGTCCATTGAAACAGCTTTTGTAAAGAAAATTGGATTTTCAACTAAAGGAAGTTCTAAACGGGAAGTGGCTCCTTTCTGCAAATAATTCCAGCTTTTCATTGAAAAATCAAAAACAATTTAAATGATTTTCAAGTTTGGGGGTTTTCAACAAAAAAAAAAAACAAAATTTTCCACAAACCAAAACACCCACAACACACTTTCCAACCAGCTGTAATTACAGTAGCAACTGCACATCAACCACATAGGGCTACCATTGTGCTAGACACTATATAAACATATAGAAAATGATAGTCCCTATGCGCAAAGAACTAGTGGAGAATGGTCACTAGACCATGTTAGTTTATAATGGCTCAGTTCCAGGCTGTCAGTGGGAGACACAGACAAGGACAAACATGAGAAGAAGCAAAAGAGAGGACAGGTCTTATAACACAAATAGAGGGGCTTCTAAACCCTCTATTTTGCAATTCCACACAGCTATGAAAAGCTTCTGATCTGAAAGCTGTAAAAGCAGAGGAACCTGCCGTTTATTTAATCATCTTTAAAATAAGCTATCAAATTTAAGAAAAGATTAAACATTAAAGAAAAAATGAATTTGCTAGGGTTAATTCATGGTGGCCACTGAACTAAATTAGTTTATTTCATTACAAGATAAAGTAAGGGGAAGAGAAAATACCCTCTATTTGCAGCTCCCATACACACAGACTCTCCATACAGCACAATGTACAGTTTAGCCAAAGACCTGAGATCTGTAACTACTGACCTTCAGGTCTAAATGGAGAATATACTGCTGATGTATGTAGTGGACTCCTTCACATATTTGTTTGGTAAAAAGGATTGCATCCAACTCAGTTAGATGGTAGTTTTCATCTGTGATTCGGTCGAATAATTCACCACCATCAACACTAAAATATTGACAAAGAGAAATGTGAAAAAACACACATATTCCTCATTAGATTGGGAGTTAGATGCCTAGGCACTTCGGAAAATCCCACTAGGCCCCATCTTCATCTTTAGGTGCCTAAGTCCCTTTAAAAATCTGGACCTTTGTCTCTGTCCTGCTACTCTTGTTCGCACTCTCTCTGTTCATTCAGTTCTAGCCTCCTCAAAGTATCTCCAAACATTCTGACTGCTAGTGGTACAAAGGCAGATCCTGACTTTTTGAACAGCGGTTATGAACCTCTCCATCAAAATCTTTCCTTTTTTTCATTTCTAACTTCTCCAAAAAAACAAATTGTTTTCTCTCTTCTCTGTCTCTCTTCAGTTCCCTCTCCCTCTGCTATTTTTTTTTAATTTAACTCTCGTACCCTTATATAACTTGCTAGATACAGTTCATATAGAAAATGCAGTTGTGTTGTGTCTATGGGCCAGACCCCCACTAATGAAAAATAAAACATACTGATGTTCTTCTCTTAATAACAGACCTGTATGAAACCCCTCTATACTCTCTGGGATACAGCTGGTATTCTTACCATTTGTTTAAGTTCTGATATTCTCAAATATGTGATTTTCTCTTACAGAGTTTGCTTCTTAAAATGAAAGAAGCCTTCACCCAGATTGGGAAACACTCATAGTATCCCCCTTCCGCCCTCCCCAATGTATTTTTCTCCATTTCTACTACCGGCTTGAGCAACCATCGAGTTCAAAAGAGCTGACGATTCCTAATATTATTTTAACTTACTATTCCATGATCAAGGTGAGGTTGTTCTTGCATTCAAAAGCGTCATAAAGCTGGATCAGATTCACATGATTTAACTGGTTCATGATGTTTATTTCATTTTTCACTTCCTCCTGAAACATTACAAACAGGAAGATAACGAATAGTGACTAGCAACACGCAGATGCTCCTATTGGAGCATGACCACAAACACTCTTGTGCGCATTCAAATACAAACATTCACACAAAAATTAGCCATTCCCCAAACATTCATGCCAATTGATCAGGGCCGGCTCCAGCTTTTTTGCCGCCCCAAGCGGCAAAGCGAAAAAAAATAAATAAAGCCAATCGGTGGCACTTCGGCTGCAGCTCAATCGCACCGCTTCATTCTTCTGTGGCAATTTAGCGGCAGGTCTTCGCTGCCTCTCCTCCTCTTTGGCGGCACGTCGGCAGCAGCTCAAAGAGGAAGAGAGGGACTGGAGGACCCACCGCCGAATTGCCGCCGAAGACCCGGACGTGCCGCCCCTTTCCATTGGCTGCCCCAAGCACCTGCTTCCTTCGCTGGTGCCTGGAGCCGGCCCTGCAACTGATTCCCTGCACACACCAATGTTAGTGTAAGCCAGTGGTTCTCAAAGTTTTGTACTGGTGACCCCTTTCACACAGCAAGCCTCTGAGTGCAACCCCCCATAAAAATTAAAAACACTTTTTAATATATTTAAGACCGTTATAAATGTTGGGGGCAAAGCGGGGTTTGGGGTGGCGGCTGACAGCTCGCGACCCCCCACGTAATAACCTCGTGACCCCCTGAGGGGCCACAACCCCGAGTTTGAGAACCCCTGGTGTAAGCAGAGTCTGGATGAGCTCTCCCCCGACATCTAGTGGTGAGCTGTGGAAAAAGACTTCAGAAGCTGATCTCGTTTGCATGGACACACCCAACCTGCCTAGGTGCTCAGCATGATGGGACTGCTTGCCCAAATGATCACTTGTGGCCGGTGTTGGATCCCCAGTCTCCTTGTTATTGGGGCAGAAGTAATAAAGGGTTGCTATCCTTGTTTGTGAACCGAGGGCAACAGAACTGTACCTGCCATACCCCAATGGAGGGGACTCACCCTTAACTGAACAGCACTCGCTAGGCAGGGGACACGGGTTCCAAAGCCCAGTGAGTTGACAGGTACTTGTACCTGCTGGGGTGGGTCCTGTTTAAGGGTCCTAGACATCATTTGATCCTTCCTCTCTCCATGGTATAATAAAAGACCTAATTTAGACTCAATTGAGAGTCTTGTTACACGCTGCAGAGCTGAAATCATTGATACCTACGTCTAAGTATTAGACCTAATTTGGGGAGTGTCTCTTTTGCAAGAGACTGTCCAGTGTGCCCCAGCAGTGAGACTCCCCCACTAACAGCTGAAATCACTGAGGGTTGTGTTAAGTGTGGGTGGGGCCCTGAAGACATCTTGGCGAGCGGGCAGCTGGCGGAGAGGCGCGACCAGCAGGGAGGCTGGTGGAGAAGTGTGACCAGCAGGGCAGCAGGTGGAGAGGCGTGGCAAGCGGCCAGTAGAGAAGCTGGTGGACAGGGCCAGAGCAGAGCCCCGCAGAGGCATGACAATCGGCTGTTGGGCGACGAGCAAGTGCCCGAGCAGTGCAGCGTGTAACGTGCCTCCTTACACACACACCCCACGTCCCGCCCCGTCTTCCACACAGGGTGGGAGGTGAATTCTGCACCGGCCAAGGACAGCAACTGTGAATGGGGTACAGAGAAGGGACGGGCATGTTAAGGGACTTTTGGATTGCTGGACCTGAGGGGAAAAGGACACTGCCCAACTTACTTGGGGGGGGGTTGTGTTTATGAGCCCTAGTTGCGGTGTTTTCCCAAATTAATACAGAGTTAATTCCCTCCTTTTATTAAAAGTTTTTGCTACACTCAGACTCTGTATTGCCTCTTAGAGGCGCCCAGGGGGTGGTGTGTAATTGTCCCAGGTCACTGGGTGGGGGTTCGAGCCTGTTTTGTGTTGTATTGTTGAAAAGGAACCCCTAGATATTGAACCCGGCCCTTGTTGCTGCTGGCTTCACCTGGCAGAAGGGTTATATTAGTGAACACCAAAATAACATGGTCAGATTAAACAGTCATATAGGATTCAAGCAAATATTTACTAAGGCTGGTTTTGTCATATTTGATACAATGTTGAGTGGGAAAATACTTTAATGAGGAAAGCGATGCACAGGTGCTTGTAATAAGCCAGATTTATAATGTCTGTCCATGGAGGTTCACAAAACCATACTTACCCTTTCCTTTGCTCCTTTCACTTTTATTATTTTGGCTGCCAGATTAAGACCAGTTGACACCTCTGTGCACTTGTGAACTTGACCAAAACGCCCCCTGTTGATACAGAGAAATACACAGTAAAATGACTTTAAAGTAACTTGCTGCAGAAGCCTTTCAAACAACCATTCTTATCATTGATTAAAAATAGCCTGGTACAAAGTGAACAAAATCAGGTGGTCAGTAGCATGAATCTCCTCTTTCTCTCAGCTTATGAAGGATTAGTTTTATCTTTCCAGCCAGTTGTTCAATTCTTACATTAAAATATTATGCTCCATTTGTATTACTACGTTACACAATGACACAGTAACCTGCTGATATTCTTTTTTGGTTCTGTAATTTTACACTCCTGCTGTCCTTCAGTGATGCATAGTGGGGAATATTAACAAGGATATTTCTGGTCTGATCGTGTAACTTTATAAATTACATTAAAGCCAATAACTACAGGGCACACATTTATTGTGTGATGTAAATTGTCTCCTACCTCACCCACGCACATGATTTTTAAGCACCATCTTTTCTGCCAGTAGATAATCTCATAGTCCCTTCTGGCCTTAAACTTTATAAATCTATGCATTTACATGGTCATTTAAGAGCTGCAGACCTATATGTGTCACCAAGAGCATCCAATGAAAACTATGTATTTCTAGATACTCCGTGGGCAATGGGGAATTGTAATCATCCTACTAGCTCTTTTTCTGTGTATTTCAGCAACTGCAGCGATGTTGCTAACTGCACAGCATTACAGAGCCACAGACTTACCCTCCTAATACTTCATGCCGGCACACTGAGTAGCACGTTGTTATCTCTGTTTGTTTGACGCTCACTACTTGATGTTCAAAGGGAGCAGGAGGAGGAGGGCTGTCATCTACACAGGAGACAGTTCATTCGTTGATTTGGTTTTCCACAAATCATTGCACATTACTTTCATCATCCCCCACAGTATTTTCACTTCCTAGGATTCAGCTGTATCAAGATGTCAACCAAGGGCAACCTGACTAACTACAAACAAGCCCGTACCACCTTGGTAGTGGGTGTACGCCTTTTGGCACCTCACTCACTCTACACCTCAACAAAGGTAACATTCATCATACTCCCACCAACTCAAATACACCTGTCCCTCAGAGAGTCCCCCCCAAAGCCAGTCTGACCACTGAGAATGGCATCATCACCACAGTACCACATTGCTTTCTGGAGCAGATCCAAACACAAATATGGTTCTCCCCCATCATAACGTTGTTCAGCACAGCTGTGGGTGAGCAGCCTGTATGGGGGAATATCAGAGCTCAACATGAGCACTCAGGATATCTTAGATCCAGCCAGGCAATTGTTAACAATTTGCTTTTAGCAATATTCAAAACAAAAACCCTGGAATTTAATAAGGCTCCCATCTTTCTTCCACCTTTTCACTTTACTAGGTCCCCCATCCAGCAAAGCACTTAAGCATATGAGTCGCCCCACTGTCTCCATTGGGTGGTAGCAGTAAAATGTCATGAGTGAGGCACCTACTTAACACCTAATGACTCACAACCACTTACTCATTCAGTGTCAGGAGAATGCCTCTCCCAGTAGTAGCGATCACTGCCATTATCAATAGACGAAATCAGTTCCCCAGGGAGATGTCCCAATAAAGTAGCTGATCCAATTTAGCATGACCCAAATAAAGGCCAAATCCCAAAGTCAATCTATGTATAGAACTCCCTTTGACATCACTGGGAGTTCTTTGTGCAAAGTCAGGGAGAGACTGGGCCAAAGATGTCACTGACTAATTTAATACATGCTCATTGTAAAACGGCTGCACAGTGTATATTACACCTTAAAATTCCATTTGCGCATACATATTTGCACCTATCAACCACTACTGTAGAACCTAGATCTTGATGATCACACCTTTTGGGGCATGCTCCATCCACTGCCGGCAAAGAGTACTCCTGTTCTTGCAGCAACCAGAATGTGATCACTAACATGTGCTGCCCAGAAAAAGACTTATGGCCAGGGGTATATCTAGGGACAAAATGAGACCTTTCCTACAATATTTTACACTCTTTTCATCCGCTAATATTAATGCGTGGTTTGCACACCCCTTATCTTACATGATAATAAAGGCTTTTATTCAAAGAAATAAAGCTTTAAAAGTATATCTCTTTTTTCAAATACATAACATTTCATTTTATTTTAAAAGGATTATTATTCCAAAACAGCCTTTAAATTGAATCCAAAATCCAAAAGAACATTTATTCTGAGACTGCAACTGAACAGGAACATTAAGTCCCATGAATGTGAATACAGTTGTTGTCTGATGCAGCCAAGGGTATGCTTAGTGCCTGAATAAATGCTCTCAAACTATGATAATAGCACAAATGAGCATGGTTTCAGCTATTATAGTGTATAACATATGCAGGTACCCTAGAATTCTCAGAGTAAAAGTCTCCAGGTATGATTGTGAGCTACTTACCAATGATTACTTCATCCTGCTTGCCAAATGCTTTGCTGGCTTCTACTGATGTAGTGTTTTCTGGGGCCTCTCCTGTACATTGATTTGCATTGTCTTCTTTTTGTCCTGCGTATGTGCTTTCTAATTCTAATTCAGATCTAGCATCATTTGTGGATTCTTTCATTGTCTTTGTTGTTTCTTTATGGCTTTTTATTTTGGCCCCAAGATCTTTTTTAGTATCGTTTTCAGTTGTGCTTTGAGAGGATATGGACTTGCATTTTAGCTCTGATTTCTCTAGGGGCTTTTTATCAGTTGAGACTTTGTTCAATAGCATCTGTGGCTTCCCTAATTTGGGTTCCTGTTCATTGTGTTTATTAGCAAGCTTCACCCCTTTTACTTCTTGAACTGGGTCAGTTCTGGTGTTTGGAGGGCATGGATTGTGTTTAAATTTGTCAATCAGATGTTTAACTCCTTCAACTTCCAATGGTGAGGAGAGAGGGGATTTTACTTTGGAACTTGTACCTCTGTGATCACCAAGGCTTCCTTCTTTGGCCACTGGAATCTTTTCTTGGGTGTCAGTCATCTGCACATTGATGGAAATCCTGCAGAGCAAACATTTTCCTTTTTATGCAGGTATATAGCCTCGGTAGATTAGCAGAAAATATTTGTTTACACTCTGTTTAATTCCCAGTTATGCAATAATTTCCCTACTAAAAATATCAGATACTGAAATTGCTAAGGATAATAAAGGAAATGCAATACTTCCAGGATAAATTTACAACATTTTGAAGACTCAGTCCCCACAAAATCTTCTTTTAATAGTTATTTTAACATGCTAGCTTGTATAGCTGTCTGCCCTCTGCTGGACATAAAATATATCATACCTAAGGCTCAGATTTTGTCCTGGATATTTTTTGTAAAAATCATGGACAGGTCATGGGCAAAAAACAAAAATTAACGGAAGCCCATGACCTGCCCATGACTTTTACTAAAAATAGCCCTGACAAAATGGGGCGGGTGGAGGGTCCAGCACCCACAGCAGCTGGGAGCTCTGGGATCCCCCTGCTGCCCGGCGGCTAGGAGCTGCGGGGCTGCCTGCTGACAGCTCCAGCCCCTGGGCAGAAAATGTCACAGAGCTCTCTGGAAGTCACGGATTCCGTGACTTCCTTGACAAGTGTGACATAATCGTAGCCTTAATCATACCTACTCCAGCATTTACCAGTGCCTCTGTGATGGGGAGCCTTTGTACTTAGTGCTAAAAATGGTGGTCTGGATTATTAGAACTACGTGCTAGCTCTTAAAAACCTGGGTGGGTGTGTGCTAGTCTCCCGGCAATAGCTGAGAGCTGAGGTGTGAGAGTCTGCGTTCCTGGGGTGGTATAGAATATTACTCTTTCCACAGTCAGCTGTTGAAAATGTTAGGCTGTACACCTTGGCTCTTTTGGCTCCTTTGTTTTGTTAATATTATTTCCTTTAGCATTCCTGCCACTAGGAACTTTTAAACATTTTCATTAAGCTTAGGTTGACTGGAGATAATGGGATTATAAAAAACCTGCTATAGTCTGAAGTTCTGTCAGAGATATTCATAAAATTAATAAACTTAGAAACAGCAGCAGGATCAGGCTCTGCAAGGGAGACTGTGGAATCCCCATAACTGGAGGATTTTAAGAATAGGTTGGACGAACACCTGCCAGTGATGGGCTAGGTATACTTGGTCCTTCATCAGCACAGAGGGGTGATTTAGATGACCTCTCATGGTCCCTTCCAGCCCTACATTTCTGAGTACTGCAGCTGGCTTCAGTGGAGCGACTGGGCATCAGTAAGGGCCGTAAAGTTGAGCCCTAGGGACTATAAAACTGCAGGCAGAGAACATCTCTGGTGACTAGAAAAGGAAACACCTATCTAGTTTCCTCAAAAGTATTGTACCTTCTGTAACAAAGATCTTGAAAAGAAACCTTTTCTATCTTTTGCATAACAAGTCTGTAGTTTTGTTCTCATTTTTACCATCTCACTGTCATTATAAGCATGATCCCTTTATAATGTTGTGATAAATGAAAGGGGGAGGGGGTAGCTCCATTTTATGGACACCCAGCCAGCATGTTAGCTATAAATCCCTGTTGGTAGTTGTTCTCTACTTGCTTTACCTGTAAAGGGTTAAAAAGTCTCCCTGCATAGGTAAAAGGAAGGGAGTGGGCACCTGATCAAAAGGGCCAGTGGGAAGGTTAGAACTTTTTAAAATTGGGGAAAAAACTTCCCCTTTGTCTGTCTGTGTTGTTCTCCCGGAGAGCAGAGACATGGCTGGAACTATGCTGTAAAAAGCTTTGGGCCAGGTATGAAAAATCACCAGATCATACCTAGAAACTAATTTGAAACCCCAGATATGTAAGTAGGTCAGGAAATGACTAGGAAGACGCGATTAGGTTTATCTCTTATTTTTTTATGGCTTACTCATAGACTTTAAGGTCAGAAGGGACCATTATAATCATCTAGTCTGACCTCCTGCACAACACAGGCCACAGAATCTCACCCACCCACTCCTGTGACAAACCCCTAACCTATGCCTGAGTTATTGAAGTCCTCAAATCGTGGTTTAAAGACCTCAAGGTGCAGAGAATCCTCCAGCAAGTGTTTTGAACCCCTGGCCTTGATATGAAAATCAGGCAGGGATACCGTCGACTCCTGTATTCCACCTGAATGAAAAGCGCAAGAGGAGTCGACGAGAGAGTGTTTCCAGTCGACATTGCGTAGTGTGGACCCCCCAGTAAGTAGATCTTAGTACGTCGACTTCAGCCACGTGATTCACATAGCTGAAGTTGCGTAACTTAGATCGATCTCCCCCTGTAGTGTAGACAAGGCCTTAATATGCTTGTATTACATTCATCTGGGAATACTCCAGCACCTGAAAATATCTGTAAATTGCACAAATAACTAAAGACTACCTAGAGAATAAAGTGCCTGTCTTGTATTTAAGGCACCAGAATGCATTCAAATCCTTTAAGTTAAAAGAAACATTTTCAAATGCGCACGTACAAAAAACCAGTCACTTTTTGGTCTGTGTTCAAATGCTGACTTGTATACCTGCACATTGGGATAATTATGTATACACAAAAATGCACAGGAGACTAAACTGAACATGCATGGTCATGCACAGACATGTTTTAAAAATGGGACCTCCATTTTCATTTTTTTTTCCATAATGCAATTGCAGGTTAAATCACAGAACTTTTCTAAAGTCCTAACCATCAAAAAAAGGACAAACAAGGGTATCTGATACCAAATATGTCATATGTTAAAGAGAAAAAAAAAAGTAAAGTTAGAAAAAGAAATGTTTGCTCACATCTTTGTATGGCCAATGCTTAAAATGGGCTGGGTCATGTGGTCACAGACCTAACCAAAAATACGGAATGCTCTGAGGTGGGCAAAGGACTATTATACATGGAATTGAACAACCTGCCCAAGCCCTGAAATTTTATCACACACTAAAAAATTCAGTCCTCAATCAATGGCAGACTCCTCTTGCAGACCTATTAAGCCCCGTATGTGATATTTATAGAAACCTCCATGTTAGAAAGGAGTCAGCCATTTACAAGGTTCAATGAAATGAGACACAAGTAGAGCAAACCCATTTCAAATCTCCCTGACTCAGAACAGATGTGCAATATTAGTAATTTGCGCTTACCTAACACTTTCTATCTACAAACTTTGTATAAATTTAATTAGAGCCAAACTGGCTCTAATTCTTCTTCAGATTGACTGTTTACGTGGTTTCCTGTGCTCCTTTTCTAACAAGGCTTTTTTTTCCTTATCATATATGAGCAAGACTGAATCGTCCTTTTAATAATTTGCCTATTTTTAACACATGAAATGTTTCAGATCACACAGAGAATTACAGACTAGATCATTACCTTGTACGTATCACTTCACACCCTGCTCTGGATACAGACTTTGATGTGGATGGCACGGCTTCCATGGATATAGCGCTGAGTGTAGAGGGTTTGTTTTCACTTCCTTTTGATTTCTGATTAATAGGCTTTCTGTGGTGTTCTTCCAGTCCTGGTGCTCTGTCCTTATCAATTGCTTCAGCAATAACATTCTTGTTCCCCACAGGGCCATGATTTATGAAGGGAAGACCATGGTTTGGAATCAAAGCTTTAATTCCAGTGTCTTTTTGTGGTTGACAATTCTTAGAGCTATTTGTTTTGCCAGAACCTGCTATTGTTTGCAGCTGTGTTGTCCTTTCTTTAACTTGTGGACTGGAGTCAACTTTGGAGACTACAGCATTGAAAGAGTTTACTTTTTCACATGCTCCATTATTTTCATCCAACTTTTCTTCTCCTTTGGGCTCTAAATAAGAAATGGTATTATTCATAATGTTACAGCCTTCCTCTGACACAAGAAAAAATATTACATAGTGGCATAGGTTGTAAAAAATAGGGAGGTAGCCAGGGATGTTGGACTCTATTAAAAACCTGCCATCGTAGTGAAACTAAGCAATGATGCTCATGTGAAAGGGCTAAAAGACACACAAAAAAGACTTAAGCTTATTAGAAGCATGTTTGACATTTCTGACACTGACACATGCAGGTTACTAAATTACTTACTTGCATTGTTAGCTTTTCAGCAATGGTAAAAGTAAAAATAGAAACTGGATTTCCGAATAACTAAAAAACAAATTGATAAGAGAGAGACGAGGTGGGTGAGGTAATATATTTTATTGGACCAACTTCTGTTGGTGGAAGGAATGAGCTTTGGAGCTTCCCAGAACCCTTCCTCAGCTCTGGGGAAGGTAACCAGAGTGTCCATGCTAAATAAGACAGGTTGTTAAGCATACACATGTTGTAGGAGACCACTTAAAATGAAGTAGGCAATTACCACCTCTGCGGTCCTAGGACAAAAGAAGGTAAGTAGACAGACCTGACGGACCTGAGGAAGAGCTCTGTGAAGATTGCCCCTTCCACCAACAGAAGTTGGTCCAATAAAAGACATTATTCCATCCACCCTGTCTCTCTCAGACCCTGGGACCAACAGGGCTGCCTACAACAACACTGCAAACAGAAAATTGATAAGAGTCACTTGAAGGACATTCAAGACTGAAAGTACTCTATGGGTCAACATGACACATGGTTCGGACTCTGAAATCCCAAAAGACGCACCCATCCCAGTGTCCGTACTATAGGGAGTAGCACTGAGATTGCAAAAGGGACAGGAGGATTCCAGGAGACACTAAGACTCAGAACACTGCCTCTCTCCCCTAGGGTTTCTTGGTCCCACTGGAGCTATTCCAATAATTGCAACTGCTCTTAATTATTAATGGTGGTGCATGTAAAGGAAGGGCAGTCTAGAAGGGAAAAGACTTCCATTTCCTCCAGGCTTCTACTTGCACAGGCCCTGGAAATCAGTGTGATTTTTGTTTCATTTTTAGTCTATTTAACACCTCAGCCCAAAATTACTGGGGACTTTTGAGCCAGAATTCTGACCAGCAGGTTATTTAGTTTGTTATTTTCTAAGCCAAGAAACCAAGGCAATTTTTGGCCATGCTTGAGAGGAACCTCTGGTGACATGTGGGAGGTGACTGTAACTGGGCACTATTCACAATCACATTCACCCCGGTAACTCCACTGATGACAATGGATACAATGGATGACAGAAAGGTCTGAGGTCTGAATCCCTTTTCTAACCCCATCCCCTGTGACTTGTTGATAATATCTTCGCTGGCCACGTGAGACATTCCCAGTTCAAAAACAAATCTGTATTTCTGCTTCTTCACGTGCCTTTTTCCGCTACGACTTTACAGGTTTTCTAGGTGTTCTTGCAATTGTATCCCTGCTGTCTTCCAAATAGACATTGCTCTCTTTTAATTAAGCTAACTACAACTGCAAAAGCAAAGAAATACAGCATTAACCAAAAAAGGTAATGGCTGCTATTCATTTTAATGAAGTGTTGCTATTGGATTTGGTTTGGGAGTTTTTTGGGAGGGGAGTTGTATTTTTGTTTGTTGTTTTTTTGTGCTGGTATCAAACATCCAACACACACTTTTCTGAGTACTTGATAAGTCCAGGTACTAATTCAGGGCTAATTCAGTAGTACCTACAATATAGGAGAATATTGGATCTTCTCTTCCCAACCTATCTCAAATTCCATAGCAGATATGTTTATCATACATACAGGCTTACATATACCTTCCAAAGACTCCTTGCTTTCGGCCTGGACTCCTCTGTTGCTAGGTACATGCTTTGGTTTTGCAACCTTCTCTTCCGGTTTATCGTTAGTCTAAAAAATACAATTGAATACACCATTAATTAACAATGTTAAAGATGTCCATTTCCCACTGGGTTCCTCTAATTCTCTACCAGTGGAGGCAGTTAGACACTATGAAATTGGTGGTAATGACTCAGCTTCATTGCATTCTCAGTTTGCTGCTGCTTCTTTATTTCCCCCACTGTGAGGCTTCCTGGGGGCTCCAGGGATGTGCTCTCTACCACCTGCCCTTAGTGTGAGGAAGTCTTGTCTGTGCTCGCCTTGGGTCAGCTCTCCAACTGCACCGGCACTCCCCTCTAGATCTCGCAGGCCCCACTGTCACCCGACAAGTTAGCAATTGACACCCCCCCAACCCTCAAGCCCTCTGAGTGTCTCCCTTGAGTGTCCAGCCCCAGTCCACTGGACACTCAGTATTCAGATTTGCTGCTTCCAAAGAAACAGTGTACCCCAGCTTACCAAGTCCACCTCAGATCACCACTCCGCTTGACACACAGCGCTTAGATATGTTTATAGTGAAGTCAAGTATAAGTGTATCTAACAAAGCATAGAGATTTAAGTTGCAGCAAATGGAACTATTTGTTTCCAGTACTGCTATGTGACATAAATCATAACATGCATTCTATAGGCTAGATTTAATTAACCAGATACTCATGTCTTGTGGAGTCATGCTCACCCCTTTACAGCCACGTTGGCTGTGACCCTCCTTTCATGAGAAAGATGTGCTGTGAGCTTGTCTTCTAGGTGAAGGATTCAGTGTGTTTCCTGGCACCCCAAGATATAACAGAACAATCCTCTCTCTCTTTTTTCATAAACAGGACACCCCCCTGCTTTAGTTTCATCTTGCAGATTTCACAATCTCTTATTTTGCCTTTGGCTCAGTATATAAATAGGCATATACTGTGACGCATTCAGTATACAATACACAAACAACCAGACAGGGAGATAGGTGTCCCTTACCTCCTGCCTGAAAGGAACATTTCCAAAGTATGTCACCTCCTGAAGACCCGCCAAAACTCCAAGACTTTGGAGCATACATTTTAGTGTAGACATATAATTCCTTAGTATTATCCATACATACATTAGCTATGATTATGGCAAGCTGTGGGCCACTTGCTTTCGGTAGAGACTTCACATGCCACCATTCCGTGAACTATTATGCATAGATCTGACCCAGGGAATCCCTGTAAAACCCTATGCACCCCCCATGCCCTCTGCCAGTTGGCATCAAGGGCTCCCTGGGTCACATCCACCAATTTTTTTAAAATCTTTGTTCTAAAGCAAAATCTTGTGGAATAATAAATTAGCTCATAGGTCTCAAAAAATGATACTTCCCAAGACTATGCCTGGGGTGATTTTTCTCCAATATACGGTTCTATCACATAGTTTTTAATCTAAGACAGGGGAGGCCCCAGATAAAGGAAATGTTGGTTTCATCCCTCCTGGCTCTCATGGAGAGACAAACAGCACCGCTTTACATATTTAATGTTATTTTACCCTGTAACCCCAAAAGGACCTTCCATTCATTGAGCCACAGTGAAGTCAGATAGACATGTGGCTAGCCCACTGGGTGCCAATCCTGCAAACACTCGCCCACGTGCTCCATCCCATTGACCTGAATTCTGGGGTACTGAAAAATCTGGATCCAAATTTTTTTTGGCTTGAGTTCATCTCTTTCTCTGGTTGAAGAGACACCAATCTCAGGTGGCGAATGTTTGTTGAATACTTTCTAGGTGATACCCAATCCTTTCTTTAACAAAAGCCTCATTGAAACCACGTTGACTATTCATCCTAGCTCTAACATTTAGCAAATGATAATGCAGACCATAGCAAAACAGCAAAAAGTAGTGAAAATACATGTATTGGCTGGGAAGATATTAAATATTTGAACCAGAGAAAAGATAATTTAGAGCGGAGAACTGACCTGGTCTCCTATCCTACTCAACTACTGAGTGTGGCAACAAACAAGAGCTTCTGAACCTCCTGTATATTTTAACACACAAATCCAGTTACATGCCTTTGAAAATCAGGTCCCATTAATATTAGCGTAAGGGTTTGAGGTGCTAATGTGTTGACCCTGTATGCTCCAATGTTGACTTATAGTATAAGCTTTTTTTCCTCTCCCCTCCACCCCCACTAAAAAAAGTTTTCAGATGTCATTGCCACTTTTAACTAAAACACTCAGTATGCCCATGATAATGGTGAAACTGTGGGGATCTTTATTCTTCATGAATCCCCTTCTGTAAGTGAGACTGGAGTGGACCACGCACTCCAGCACTGTTTTTTGTAAGTCAAGAGTCAGAAGTTTTAGACGGTATGAAGCTATGAAGCTTTCAATTCAGACATTCACTTATTTTATGAATTTGAGGCCAACCCTGCAAAGTCTCACACATAAACAGTCCTACAGAAGCCACTGAATCCTATTGTTGTGTCAGCAAGCAGCTACTTACAAAAATAAAAACATAAGACCCCCCCCCCCTTTCATTGATCCATGAATTCAAAGAAAGGACCATTGTGATCATCTAGTCTGATCTCCTGCACAACACAGGCCATACAATTTCCCCAAAATAATTCCTAGAGCAGATCTTTTAGAAAAACATTCAATCTTGATTTTAAAAAGTGTCAGTGATGGAGAATCCGCCATGCCTCCTGGTAAATTGTTCCAACGGTTAATTACTCTCACTATTAAAAATTTACACTTTATTTTCCGCCTGAATTTGTCTAGCTTCAAATTCCAGCCACTGAATCATGGTATACCTTTCTCTGCTAGATTGCAGCGTCAGTTATCAAATATTTGTTCCCCATGTAGATACTAATACATTGTAATCAGGTCACCCCTTAACCTCCTCTTTGTTAAGCTAAATAGGTTGAGCTCATTGAATTTATCATTATAAGCAGGAGCACCGCCAGCTTTTCTGCCACCCTAGGCGGCGGAAGGTCCCGCCCCCAAATGCCGCCCCCCACAGAGGCAATGGAAGGTCCTGCCGCCGAAATGCCGCCGCGGTCGCCGCCCCCCAAATTGTAGCACCCTAGGCGACCGCCTAGGTCGCCTAATGGGTTGCACCGGCCGTGATTATAAGCCACATTTTCTAATTCTTTAAACATTCTTGTGGCTCTTCTCTGAACCCTCTCCAAGTTTTCAACATCTGTCCTGAACACGTAGTAATGCTGGATAAAGCCACTGCTCTGGTATATGGTGCACTATTATAAAAAGATGGCTAGGAAGCAGAAACAAGCAAGTAACAGGTTCTTTTTATTTGCAACTGTAGTGTAAAAAAGCCTTCTGGAACCCTTTGGGTTTTAAATTAAGTTCTTTATGCTCCAGTGTTACAATGTATACAGCAAACAAATAAATAAAGGGATGTTGCTGGTTAATTAATGTTGCCCACCTGTCCAATATGTATTTGCTTTCCTATAGTAAACTATAACCACATATGAGTTGTCTCTCGTGCATTACACGGCCACCCTACCTTTATAATCCCTCCTAAACATCTTTCTTCCAATAAGTCTTCCAGTGAATCTAGCAAAGAAAGAAATGTAGAAACTAGTTTACCATTTTGAAGTTGTTCTTTACCTGGCCATCTAGTGTACTATGTACTTGTCTGTCCAATTTGGAGAGTAAGCCCTATGAAGCAGGATCCTAGCTGTCTCCAGGTATTACATAGTGCCAAGCACATTGCAGGTGCTCGTAATAATCATATCTTTAAACCTAAAGCACATCAATTTTTAGATCACTTTTTTCATGTCTTCTACTATTGTAGCACACTTCAGTTGGAACAGACTGCAAGTACTGGCACCACGTAACTGTAGACGGGGTTTTTTAGTGATCTCAACCCAGTTTCCACTAGAAATTTAACCAAAAAACAACAACAAAATCTCACAATCTGGTTCAATTGTTAGTCTCTGAAAGAGTAGTGGTTCTGCATATCTGTACAGAGATGGACTGTTAGAGCTGTATCTGAAAATCTGCCCCACACCCTCCTGATCTATACTGAGGTCTATTACAGTCTCATTTTTGTAAGAGCTCAAATGCACATTCCACCCATATATTTTAATTGTTGTTTTTTTCAAGTTATTTTGATTTGTACCCAAATATTTATAAAGCCAGGAGCATTCACAGAGTATTCAAATAATTCCATTACAAGTAAAGTCGTTCCTAATGCAATAACGTTTTTACCAACCCCATGTTATGAGATCTGCTGGAATGAGACCATGTCCCACATACACCTCATTGTGCAGTTTATTCTTTGTTTCTCATGATGGGACACAAATAGTAATGACTGATGACAAACAAGACTCAACATTGAAACAGCACATATTCGTTATAGGTGCCAGTTCATTTTTAAAAAAAGAGAAAACCAATGAATTCCAAAATATCCTGCTGACACTACAAACCATTTCCCGCTCATTATGCTTCATAATTAAGAAATGGTTATGAGTTAGTGTCCTGCACTCACAGCCCTATTGATCCCATGGTTGGATGAAATCCATAGAATTGCACAAATGTAATTGGGAAGAATTAGGCCCATGTTCCATTGAAGTCACTGAAATTGTCTGAACATAAATGAGGGCAGATTTTGGCCCTTGATGCCCAAATTGTCAGAAAACAGAATCCCATTCTGTCACTTTCACAGTACGTTAACTATTTATTATTCTTCATCTAGGGCTGGATTCCGCAACTAACTTGAATGTTATTGGCCAGGGTGTAACTGAGGACAGATTTTGGCCCTTAAATTGTCAACTCCTCAGTGCAGAGACCTAGTCTTTACACCTATTTGAAACCTTCCTCGCATGTTTTCTGCACTATACCATTTATTCTTATGCCTAATACTGAGAGAGGAAAGCCTGAACACACACATGCATTATGTAAGAAATTAACAGGAAAGCCTGGAGCCCTTCTCCTTAACAAGAAAAGGATTGTGAACAGTAAAATAAAACCAACCTCCATTAGGATTTCAACCAGATTCCCTTTCTTCCAGGGTACAATGCCTCTCAGAATGAAATCCACTACTTTAGAATTTTTGAATGTCTCTCCCACAAATGTAATTACTTTATCCACAGTATCAACCATTTTTTCTATCTTTTCCAGCCTCTCCCTGTGCTTCAAGGCATCTTGCTGTGTAGCTCTCATCAGCTTCAACATTTCTGAGCACGCAGTTTCAGTCTCAGACGGGTGAATACTGTCCCCAGGTTTTAGGCCTCTTTTTGTTGTATCAGTCTGAGCAGTGGATGCTTGGGATGCTGTTAACTTATCAATGTTCTTTCCTATGTCATCAATGCCTCGGTTCACCTTTTGCAGCTTGCCATTCAAGTCTTCTTGGAAACTCAATAATTTATCTACCTTTTCATTCAAAAGATTCAATTTTTTGTCCATCATGCTTAAGTTGTTCCCTCTTGCAGGCTGCAACCTAGCCACTGCATTTCCAGGCACCTTTCCATGCTCCATGTTACCCTCAGACATTCTGCCCGGACAAGGAGTCAATGGCAGTGCGATTTGGGTGGCTCCTCATTAAGGATGTAAATTAGAGGGTGATTCTTTGAAAGCTCATCTTCCTTAGTCACTTCCTTACCCTACAACCAAGGATAAATTCTTTGGCTTATTAGAGATGCTAGGAACATGTCATTGATCAGCCATTGTGTGAAAAGGTTTCATTTTTGCGTTATCTGTTTCTTACTGTGTGATTTCAATGAGGGAGTTAACTTGGCAATGGACTGTTTTTTCTTGGGCCCCCTTGACGTCACAAAACCATTTAAAATTCTTTCTTGAGAGGCTGTTGATAGGCAAGCATCTTAACAATTGACGACGCCCATAGCAGATATCTCGGGGGGGCGGGGGGGAAGAAGGGGAGCAAGGATTTCATGCCAAGCCTTGTTTTCTGATTTTGAAAAATACCCTTTAAAATGTTTCTCTTTTGCCACAGCAGAGAAGTATAAAAGTGAATTTGGTGGTGTCGTGCTAAGGCTGGGAAGATTTCAGCCTGGTAGTATGCATGCATAACACCCAGCACAGACGTATGCTGTGCTCTTTAGGTTGGCTGGCACTTGAACTTAAAAATAGAGCACAATAATGACAATGATCTGAAATACGTATCTGGCACCAGCATGTCTCTGTCAACTGAAATGTCTAAAATTAAATTCTTTCTACAGTGCCATGAAAGTGCACAGTGTAAAAAAAATCTACAGTGAGGCATGTCACAATTGCTTTCATAATTGGCAGCAAAATAATTAGTCTGGAGTCCTTTATAAAGCATTTGCTACTGATACACTTTTGTTTCTGAAGTGCATGAGTGCGGACACCGCAAAAACAACTGTTCTTTGGAGAGAAGAGAAACCTCTATTTAGGTTCATAACTAGCCCCCACCACGGCGGTGCTGAGCACCTCACAAACAATGAGTTTATCCTCACCGCAGCCCTGTGAGAAATGGAACTACAGTTATTCCAGTGTCACAGATGAGGAGCTGAGGCACAGAGAGCTTAAGCAACTTGTCTAAGGTTACAGAGGAAGTCTGTGGAAAAAGCAGGAACCAAATCCAGATCTTCTCGATCTCACTTTAGTGTCTCAGAGTGACCTTTCCTGTCTCCATACACAATGAGTTAAAGAAGTTCTGGTCTTTCACACCAGTCAATGTTTGGGCCTGACCCCAAAAATGACAGCGCATCATAATTCCCATTGAAATCAATGGGGTTTGAAGTGCCACATCTGATCTGACTTTTCAGGATGTGGGGGAAGTAATATTTTAGGTGAATTTAATTTTTCATGAGAGGTAGTTCTGGAAAGTAAAGTCCTCTATTTACCTACAGGAAAGATACCGTAGGGGCAATAACAATAGAAGCATCCCCACCCCAACCATCTTAACAACGTGCCACAACCTTTGCTCTGGAGGGGTCCACCTCTCCGAGTGAGAAAGTACACTTGACTCCATGCACACTATTCCTTTGGTCTGTCTGCTAAAGCTACAAGCAATTCCATTTGATGTGGTGGGTTCGTGATGTCCACTAGGGCCTGGTCACAGAGGTCACTAACTTGTTTCATAATGATTTTCTGCCAGCCAGCCTGGGCTGGATTGAACACTGCAATAAGACTTTGTGTGAAATCCTGCCCCTTTGAAGTCTATGGGAGTTTTACCATTGACTTCAGCAGAGCCAGGATTTTACCCTTTGTTTCCACTCCTGATCAAACCACTCCCCCATAGTTTTTTCACTGTGGTCTGGGATTATATGGAATAAGGCAAGTTTAGTGTGTAATGGAGCTTTCCCTTGAATCGCCTGAACTCCTCACAGTTTGACAAATGTCTCAGTCTCTGACACCATGAGGCACTCTGAATCAGAAAAGCACTAAAGTCTAGCTCAGCTACATAGAGACTTGCACAGCACAGCGCTTTCCTATAACATGTCTGACTGCAGTTAGTGACATCAAAGCCTCACTTGCAAGAGGACACCTACAATTTAAAATAAAGGTAACAATTGGAGTGAAATACTGCAGAGGAAGCTGGAAGTCTAGTGAATATGTTACATTTTTCTATGACTAATGAGCTAGATTCTGGAGCCACCTACTTTCCAATCCAGGTCACATTTTGAATACATTTTAGATATTTATGAGATGACAGTTTCTTCTCCCAAAATGGGTCAGGTCAGTTTCCAAGAGTAATAAAAATGGCTGTTTAAAATTATACCCAATAAAGCACCTAAAAATTCTCATTATATGATTATTTAGTGATATTACAAGATAAATTTTATTCTATGGGGAAAAAAATCAGAAATAGGATTTATAGGTATACACTCCATTAACTCCCAATGCCATTAACTGAAGTTACATAACAAAATAATTGCAATTCTATTTGTTAGTGTAATCATGCTGTTCAAGAAGCAGAGCCTCTGAAAATCAAAGCACAAATCATAAATTAATCACCACACACAAATGCTGTCATATTGATTTTCGTGTCTTTAATTTGTTTTTTTTTTGAAAATGAACCAAAGACCAGAAACAGAGTATAATGATTAATGAACAAAGATGTTTTGTTCACAGATCCAAGAAAAAAGCAATTAAATCCAATACCATACTCCGAGCAGACACATTTTCACTGTAACTAGATAAAACATACAGAAGGGAGAAAACCTTCCTTATTTGTCTACACAAGGGGTTGCTACAGTACCCTTAACTGAGGTGACAAAGTTAACAATGCATTGGATAGTATGACTTAGCTCCAGCCTGAAGTAAATACATATTGTGGCTCAGAAAGTTATGTAGGTTCCAAAACACTGATTGAATAATTAAAATGACTGGGAACTAATAAAAAATGTGATTTCAGTAATCTAATCATTTATTAATTCAGTAAAACAGATAGTCCCAACTTTAGTTAAACACACATAAGATTTTGAACATAACTCCTCTCATTCAGCTCAGGAACTCTGCCCATGTGTTAAATATTTTAGATGTCTTGAATTCAATATATTCATGCAGCACCAACATTCCAGCAAAATATATTTCCAGATTAAATTCTATCAAGTGTACAAACAGTAGTTTTTACTAGGAATTTCTTTACAAATAACACCTAACTTTGCACCGTTATGGAAAAAGAAAACAAAAAGGCACTAAAGTGTTCAGAATGCCTTTGTTTTGGTATATTTAAATCACACAGTTAGCCACAAATACTTGAAAATGGAGGTCTAGGTGCAAACAGGCACGTCTGTCACATACTGTCACATACCTACCTTTGTGCACAAATACACATAATTACCATGACTGCATTATCACAGTAATTGGGCACGCAGTTGTGATAATATGTAAATACAAACATAGGTGCACAATTGCATGCATTTATGTTTGGAGGTGTGGTTCTACCCAATGGAAAATGTGGCCCTTATTAAACTTAACTGAATGTTTCACAAACGAAATTCCTTTGGTTTGGCATGGCAAACTAAACACCTATATTAGTAATGTCCCATCATCATTTACGAATGATTATTGTTGTGTTTACCAGAAAATAGCTGCTTACATGGAGTAAATGGAAGGCAGTTTTCAATTACAATTTATGATCACTAATCAGGGAAATATATATCAGGAAATTTTAAAAGCACGAGGTGAAAGAAGTATGATCCTGTGAGCCTCTGGAGTGGAGACAGCGTCTCTACGTTTCTAGCAATAGAAGGCTGTGGAGCCTATTCCAATTCCCGCTTTGTATAAGGCCAATGGAAGTGGCCCTATGCTGCCCCCCTGTCAGGCTGGAGAGGGAGGTGCATGCCCATTACACTCAGCACTACAGGGGATTCTGGGCTGCAGAATATAGGCAGCCTAGGATAGGCTGGTAAATTAGATGAACTCCTAGGGGCTACTTAACTTACAACAGGGTGGGAGAGAGGGTGAGTGGGCCACAATGGCCGCCAGCAGAGGCAGAATCCAGGCAGCTCAACCATGGCAAAAAGTGGTATTTGCCCCTCTCGGTCTTGGCTGTGCCTTCAGGTGGCACAGCACAGAATCTGTCCCATTATACTTACCAGAAAGCTTAATCCTATCCGGGGTGCTAGAAAGCAGCACATTACAGAGGGTGTCTAGCTCCAGGTAACATGCACTCCCTGCCAATGCTGTCTCATGCACAGAAGGGTGAAACATGGCCACAGTCTTGCCCCATCCAAACATGCCCTTTTAGCTAACAATAATGCTAGCTCCGATCCCTTGTGTGCCCATGTGCAGCCAGCCAAATTATAGTCTTCTGCTGATTGGGGGGTTGGAGGACATGGAGGGAAAGCATAATTTGTCCCATAATTTCTAGCCTATAGTGAGAAGTTTCAAATGACTGCCACATCAAAGCTATTAAATTCAGCTGGGTCAATCAATGTACGTGCTACATATGTGCAGTGGATCCAGTAGGTAACAACACATCCAGTTCTGGGAATTATTTTTTAAAGAACATATGCACAAACTGAATTCAAAGTTGATGAAAAAAGAAAATTAATTGGACCAATGGATTTGGCTGGTTATTTTGTCTTTGGACGGATCACATGTTCAGACACTGGTAGGCATCCTTCATTCATTTCAGTTGGAATGACAAGAGCACGTATTTTTTATTCAGGAATTTGGTTCAGCGCTAAATTTTGCATTTTGCTTGAGTCGAGCTAGGAAGGCACTCACTTCCAATAAGGCCATGTCTACACTACCACTTTGTTGGTATAACTTATGTCACTCAGGGGTGTGAAAACACCCCCCCCCCCCAGCAACGTAAGTTACACCGACGTAAGTGCCAGCGTGCACAGCGGTATGGCAGGGGAGAGCTTCTCCTGCCGACGTAGCTACTGCCACTCATGGAGGTGGTTTTGCTCACTCCCGCTAGCACAGAGCAGCTACACAAGCAATCTTACAGCGGCACAGCTGCATTGGTACAGCTTTACCACTGTAAGCTCGCTAGTGTAGACATTCAAAAACCCTTCAACACATTTTTTAAAATACAATTAAATCACTGGACT